GTACTGATTCAACTGTGTACTGAGAAAATGATCATAAAGTCTGGATTATATGAGAAGAATGGGGCATCAGGATGTGAAGAGACCTTATTAATAACTTTCAATATGCAGATGATAACCTTGCTTGCTACAAATGAAGAAGACTTGAAGCACCTGCTGATAAAGACCATGGATCATAGCCTCCAATGTGGATTGCAACTCGATGTAAAAACAAAATAATAATAAATCCTTACAACTGGGCCAGATGGCAATATCATGATAAACTGAGAAAAATTGAAGTTGTCAAGGATTTTGTATTGGTTGGCTCTACAATGAAAACTCATTGAAACAGCACTCAAGGGTGCATTGCATTGTGCAAATCTACTGCACAAAACATCTTTCAAGTGTTGAAAATCCAGGATGTTACTTTGAACACTTCAGGTGTGCCTGAAGCCAGCTATGGCATTTTCAGTTGCCTCATATGCAGGTGACAACTGGAGATTGAAGAAGGAAAACCTAAGAAGAAATGACGCATTTGAATTATGGTGCTGACAAAGAATATTGAAAGTACCATGGACTTCCAAAGCAACAAACAAATTTGTCTTGGAAAAAGTACAACCAGAATGCTCCTTAAAGGTAAGGATGGAGAAACTGTTTTTCATGTACTTTGCACATATTGTCAGAAAAATCAGTCCCCAGAGAAGGACATCGTGCTTGGTAAAAATGGACGAGAAAAGAGGAAGGCTCTCAATAATAGGGACTGGCACAGTGGCTTAATGGATGTGCTCAACCTTGAGACCAGTTGTGAGGATGGCACAGATCAGGTCATGATTTGTTCTTTGTGCATATGGCTGCTGTGAGTCAGGGGTGACTCGACAGTCTCCAAGGGCAATGTGTAGTTGTTGCTGTCATTAGGCATCTTCAAGTCCGGTCCAACTCTTGGCAGTTCTGTGTACAACAGTAAAAAACACGATTGGTCCTGAACCAGCCTCACAACTCTTGCTAAGTTTGAGCCCATTGTTAAAGCCACATGGTTGTCCTAGCTTCCTGAGGGTTTTCTCCACGCCCCACCCCCCCACTGACCCTTTTTCTAAACATGATGCCCTTCTTCAAACACTGGTTTCTCTTGATAACATGTCCAAAGTACATGGGATGAAATTTTACAATTCTTGCTCCAAAAGAGCATTTTAGCTGAACTTCATCCAAAACATATTTCTTCATGGTTTTAGTAGTTTATGGTATATCCAATAATCTTTGCCAACACTATAACTCAGTTATTCTTTAGTCTTCCTAATTTATTGTCAATCTTTTGGATGCAAATACCATAACTTAGGCCAAGAGTACATTAGCCCGAAATGTGATGTTTTTGCTTTTTAACATTTTAAAAAGATCTTTTGGCAGCAGATTTTCCCAATGAAATACATCACTTGATTTCATAACTGTTGCTTCCGTGGGACATGACTGGGGATTCAAGTGAAATGGAGTGCTTGACAACTTCAATCTTTTCTCCATTTATCATGATGTTATTTACTTGTCCCGTGGTGAGAAGCTTTGCTTTCTTTATGTTGAAGTGTAATCCATGGAAAAGATTGCAACCTTTGATGAGCATCAGTAAGTATACAAATCCTCTTCACTTTCAGCAACCTAGGTAGTATCATCTGCTTCACAAGTTGTTAATACATTTTCCTCCAAGCCTGACATTGGGTTCTTATTTCCATAGTCCACCTTTAATGTTGGCTGCAACAATAGGCTCATATATAGCACTGATCATGAGCTACTGCAGGACCGGGCATTGTTTTGTTCTGTTATACATAGGATCACGATGAAGTATAACCAGTTTGGCATCCAGCAACAATAACAACCAGTACGTCGACTAGTTAACAATGATTTCTACATTCGTTTTCCTGACAAGCAAAGTCTTTTCCACTTTTTTTCTGTATGCTTTGCCTGAAACACAGTTTTTTGTCCTTGCTTTTTTTGTTGAATCCTCTCAGATCTACATCTCTATAGAAATGTGTCATAGTAATTGGCCAAATTTCTGGATTCATGTCTGAGTGAATTTTACTTTGCATGTTTCACACATTTATCTTTCAGCTGAATATCCACCATTCCCAGAGATCAGCTTGTTCTTCTCCTGGCAACACAAGCTCACGAAAGAACGACTCTTTCCAAGATGTGATGTATTACCACCTGTTCCTCCTCTATCTTACTTTACCACCCAAATGTTTTCTGTAAAAGCTTCTATTCTGAGAAAACAAAACAAACTCATAGCCATCCAGTAGATGCCAACTCATAGAGATCATATAAGACAAAGTAGAGCTGCCTTTGTGGATTTCCAAGACCATAACTCTTTATGGGATTAGAAAGTCTCATCTTTCTCCCCAAGAGTGGCTGCTGGTTTCAAACTTCTGACCTGAGGGTATCAGGCCAATGCATAACTACTACATCACCAGGGTCCCTCATATTCTGATCTTAAAGTAATTTTCAGGCTTCATTTTTGACATCTTTAGGTTTGATCATCTTCTTTGTCTTCATGGTATTCAGTAAACATAGAGTTGCCAGCCAGCTAGACGTAAATATTTGATCTGCTTGCTAGATCTAGAAAACATAATTCTTTATTATATTACCAAAGTGGATGTGTCTTCTAAGGATTATATAGAAAAAATTAACTGCTGTCTTTCTAATAACTCATCTCTACAGACTTATCAGATGCATAATAATATTTCAAAATTTGAAATGATTGACTCACTCACTTAAATATATTTTCCTTACCAATCAAATTGAGTATGTTTTGGTTGAGTTAAACAAAATGGACCAAATGAAAAATATAAAATTATGATGTGTTATAAAATTATAATGATACAAAAATACAATAACCCTTAAATAATGAAAATGAGCAGTATCTGCTATACCATTTAATATATAAAACTATAGAACTGATTTGTAAGAAATTGTTAAACAGTACAAATGATCATTGGGACCTTTCCAAATCTGGAAGTTTATTTAGGAACATATAGTGAAAGATAAATGAGTCCATTAACCATATGTTTAGATAGCATTATAGCCAACATAAGAACAAATCATAATTAGATGTAGTGTTTAGCAATAGAGAATTTATGCACTATTCCCTGCTAGTGAAGGATGGAAGACTTTGTATTCTATTTAAATAAAAGCTCAAATGATGTGTGCGCTCAAACCTCAGCCCAGAGAAATTACCCATGACACAAAGAAAGGGAAGCTATAAATCTCAAAACACTGTTCATTTAGATTACAGTCGCCTAGGTTTTGTAAATAGAATATATGCTCATAAATACATATGTAATTTTTAAATTATTAATCAATATGTCTCACAATTCAGAAATTTGGATTTTAAGTAGTAATATAAAGCCTTTTTATCAATTTCAACTGATAGAAATGTTTATTCAACCATCAGCAAGAATAATGACATCAACCACATAACTAGCATTTGTTTGTTTGTTTGTCTGATTATTTGCTTGTTTGTTGCTGGCTATTGGGGCTGCATCCCAATCTGACTTTCCTCATGAATAGTAGACATCAGCTTCACTTTCAGAAGTCAAAGTTTGGCCACATCTTTAGGATTTTGAAGATTAAATGTAAGTCTCATAAAAGAGAGCTTGTTTATTAATAAGTCAAATTAATAAGAAGCCTATTTAAATCCAAAGTTGGAAATCCAAAAAGTCAGTCCGAAATTTAGACCCTTTTCCAACTCAACAAAATGTGTATTTCTGAAGAATTTGTGTTTGTTTTAAAAATATAGCTGTGTAGAACTTCAAGTCCCAAGCTGCCATTGTCAACAGAAAAATGTTCATCCATTTTAGTTTTTATTTTCTCTAATCATACGCCAAATATCTGAATTTACTTCTACTCTCACAGGTATTCTTTTCAATGGCTTCTAGATCAGTGCACTCAGACGATTTATTCCCTAGCTAATGATGGTTGCATCCTATCGTTCCATGCATGTTAAGTGGAAAAATGCATGTGAATTTCTAAACAGCATTACCAGGGGTCATTTGTTATCATGTTCCAATATCTTATCCATTGAGCGGACACCCTTCTGTCCTGATCATACCGGCCTGCTGGGCTGCATATGGCATCGAATCAGTCCTTTGAATTTGTGACACTTACATGTTTACCAGCTCTCTTTTCAGCTGTTTCTTCTCAAATTTCCATGACATCTCTTTACTACCTGCTCCTCCTTTAAGTACTCCTTAAGTAATGTCTTTTCTGTCTGTTACATAGAACCAAACTTTACAAATTTCTAACACAAACATCCTCCCTGACATCTAGTTCCATATTTCTAATTTCTTGCTAGGAAAGAGTTCCCAAGGCATCCTGCACTCAAGAGGTTGAAATGGTAACTAATCTTGTTTAATTTTCCTTTTCTGTCAATGAAGAGTTAGTTCCAGAAGTATCTCTCCCTTGTCAAAACAACTCTGAACCAAATCAAGAAAAATAATATATTTTAAGAAGAATTATGGTCTTCAGATATTGGGCATCAAGAAGCACAGGACTGTCGTTTCTGAACAAAGGAAAACACTTCAGCTAGTACAGAGAGGCAATTTCTGGGCCGCAACCCCATAAATACAAACCCCAACAAAGCCCTGCACAATAGCTGAGTGGAGACAGCATGAAGTTTGGGGCGGGGGGCTGAGGTGGCTAGAATGCAATGGAGTAATACTGTTTGTGTTCAAACATGAGGGTGTGGCTCACAGACAGAACTCCAGACATGCGCAGAAAGATTTCACTGAGAGTTTGGCAGAGTGCTTACACAGGAATCCATTGGAAAATATTCCATGAAAGTCAGAAGGGAGAATCAATAGGAAACTAACCTGAAAAAATCCTAGAGCTCACAGAACGCTGGAAATCATCCTACTGTAATCATATCGCAGTCACAGTTTTATAAGCTGGCATCAGTAATTTGGGGTTTTGTAATAGCCAACTGTAGAACCCTACCAGCAGAGAACACTAAACCATGACCAAAAGAAATAAAGTGTGTCACTTACCTTACAGCCACTGAAAATGCTGTGGCCCCAGGTATTGGGGGCGCATTTAGAACATTTCTCTCCAATGGTATTGGGAGGGCAGATGCATCGGCCGGTCATTGGATCACAATTATTCCCCAGATGGGCACAGTCACAAGCTTCATAAGTCAAAAGGGGAAAACAAGAAGGGCATGAAATAAATGGAGAAAGAGTACTGAGATTTTATTGTGGCATGCTGTATTATTTTCTTTCTCACACTATGTTTATATGCTTTTGAAAGAAAAACTCATTCATCATTCATATCATAGGACAGTGCATCTCACAATGGAACTGGACAAGAAGTATATGTTGTATTTAATTCAATTATTCCAAAAGTTAAAATATTTCCAACTGTTTGGGGAGATTCAGGAAGAGAAAGGGTTGGTGTATCCAATTCCATGTTAATTGTATTACCTAGATGCTAAGGAGGGTTGCTTCTATATTTAAGGTCATTACTAAATGTTCTATGCTGTCCATACCACTGGATGATACTTATTTGCAACAAAAACCTAACAAACATAATAATAAAACGGAACCCAGTCATTGATTTGATTCTGCCTCATAGAAGCCCCATAGGGCAGAGTAGAACAGCCCCCACAGGGTTTCAGAGGCAGTCAACCTTTAGGGGAGCAGAAAGCCTCTCGTTCTCCCACAGAGATATTGAAAGTCTCAAATTTCCAACCTTTTGATTAGCAGCCAAATGCTTAAAACACTGGCCCACCAGGGTTAACTCTATTTAGTATATGAAATTTAAGGATCATGGATATATTTATAAATGACACACATCAAGACATTTTGTTTTGCAAATACTTAAACAGTCAAGTTGTGGACACTTAATATATGATTATATTTGTTGAGTTTTATTTACCACCTGTCATTTCTTTTCAACAGTTTCTTCATTTACTTTGATATGCTGTGATATATGAAGAGTGCAGAATTCATCATTATTCATTGCATTTTCTCAAAGGATATGAAGGTAAGGTTTGATTAGATAGTCAAAGACATACAAAACAAGGGATGAATTGCAATTATTCATTATAACTGACCAAGCTACTAAAGGAGTATATTTAATTTAGCATTAAACTAAATTATCAAAGAAGTGAAAGCAAAAGATGAAATGCCAAAAACTTGAATTTAATAAACAAGTAATGACATAAACATCTTTTTGATTGGTAAAAAATGATTAAATCTTTCAATGGGATACATTTAGGATATTAAATTAGACTAGCTTTTTAAAGGATCAAAATTATCATTGCCCACAGCATTCCATGCCAGCTGTGAAAAATGTTTAGTACAATGCTTGACACGGAGTAAGCACTAAATAAATGTTAGTAGTGTTGTTTTTGTTATTATTATTGTCATTGTCAATTCCAAGCCAAAGGATTTATTTCATATGTCCCCTTCATTAGGAAGAAAAATAGTTAACATTATATTTAAATTTATGTGCTAAAGAATGTCTTAGGACAGTTCAAATCATTATTTGCAAATAGAAATTCTCTAAGTAGCTATTCAGTGGAACCATAATACAAAATGAGAAGACCTGATTAATTCACTACTTTTTCCTCCTTGTCAAAGATATAATGTTTACTGCCATTAATAATACTCATAAATAAATAATGCTAATAATAATGATAATGATAAACTCATATAACATTCATATGCCAAGCGCTATTGTATTATAGTCATTACTTCAACAAGTTCTCGAAGCCATATGCAGTAGACATGTCATTTAATAGACATATTGAGCAGAAGGTCAGCAAGATTAAATTACTCAGTCAAGGTCACATAACCTTGTGTCACGTGGAGCCACTAGAACAAATCCAGGTTGTCTGCCTCAAGTCACAGATTCAACCACAATGCTATCCTGTACCCTTTTCACCTTCTGATAGTTCTCTGGGTTAGAATGTTTACTAAGCCTACATTCTGTACCATTTTATAATTGTAATTAATATTCTTGGTCCCACTTATAATTTCTTGTTCTGTGGATGTTATTTGAATGTAAAGTTCCATCTAATGAACTGAGATTCGGTGAAAGCTCTAGGGAGAATTTGATTTAAAGAACCAAACATAGTACATGTTAATATGCAGCTTATTAATCGTTTAAGTTTTTGAAGATTACCAATGGATTTGAGGAGGAAATATGTAGAAAAAATGCAATGTGACTTTATGATTAAAAAACAACATCAATAAAGTAAGGCTGTCTGAAAGATACTGGTTCTTCAAATAATTTTAAGTATTATTCCTGCTGTTTCCAATGTAAATTTTCTAGAACAATAACAATCATGTCTTACTACCTTGCCATGTGTATTTCATGGTGCTGAGTTTAAGGGAAATCATCATAGCTGAATCCGTAAGTTCAGTCACAAAGGTCATATGTACCAAATGATTGGCAGTACAAGGGCAAATGCTCAATCGCTGACACACAAGTTAAGTCTAGTATGGAATCTTAACTTTGTTCTACATTGAGCTATTTCCTATTTTCTTCCTTTAAGATTTGTGGGAAGGCTGCGGCTGGACATTTGAGGCCATTAATTAAACGACCATGGTTACAGACACAGCCTCCCATTTCCTCATGAACTGACAACTCCCGTAGCCAATGGACTTCTCTCTCATCACATCAGAGTTTTCAAGGCATTTGTAAATAGATACAACATTTTTTTTAGGGGGAGACCAGAAAAAATTAACTTTCTTTGTACATGTTTTTCATGCTTCAAAAGAAAAGGGAAAAGAGAAAAACTGAACTGTATTAGCAAAGACATAGCGTTTGAGCTAACGGTGGCACCCAGAAAATAAGACCATGTGTCTTCAAACTGGAGCTGCCTTGAGTGACAGGGTGACACAAACAAGAAGCAGGTACAAGAAACCTGGGATTGGCAGATCATATTTATCAATTTTTTGAAGCCCTACAACCAGGGCTATTTATAAGACCCGGTTTCAGGTTGCAATGTATTTAATTTGTTAATTAGATTTAAATGCATGCATTCCTTATCAAATGACATATTCTATATCATGCATTTGCTGTCAACGTGCGTTTCCCGCAGCCTCTGGGAACGAACCGTGACAGAAGCTAAGACGCTCAGCCAGAGCATAAGGAGCTAGGGCTTCAGTCGAATGTACAGACCTGTGCATCCTCCTTCTTGGAATTGGAAATAGCCCTGGGCACAGCGGTCACATTTCTTCCCTGTGACTCCGGGTTGGCACCAGCACTGTCCACTCTCGTCACAGTCGAATGATTTTGACCCAAAGGAATTGCAGTTGCAGGGAACACAGCCCCTTGCTGACTGGAGGCCGAATGTTCTGGGCTAGCACAGAACAGGATGGAGACGAATTAGATTTAAGTCAATCAACTAGCAGTGAACCACAATACAAAAGACAAAGAGATCAGTCAGAAACGAAGGAAGTCACGGGTTACCAGGGTATATTTTAGTATATTACAGTTGGGGCTTCATTTAATTAATTATTTATAGTTTTAAGCATGTCAAACAATTGAAAGAAAAAGTTTCAACTACTTTGAAATTCCATCAGGAGTAACGTCAGAATCAGGACAATAGCCTTTCTTCTGCTGTATTTTCACCACCATTTCCCTATTCTTCCAAAGGTTTTGTCGGAAACATGCAAATAAACTAAGGATGGTACTATTAAGTAGCTAGATTTAGGGATGGGAGGGGGTGGGAGTGGGGGGTTGTTCTTCCCATGCCTGCAAGGGCCCCCACAGAGGAGGTTGGAAAGAAATCAGGTACCATTGAAGCCCTGTGAAGACCCCACACTGAGCATGCACAGACACAAGCCCTCCGGGCCTAGGTAAAACCAATACCTTGGACACACCCACCTTAGGTCCATCACTCAGGTGGGCCTAACTCTGCCAATGCGTCAACCAAGCCCATCAACCACACCTCCCCAGCCAGAGGTTTGACACATCCTGGCTGTGGAAGACCTGGCTCTTTCTTACCCTGCTCCTGACCAGAGGCAGGTGGAGGGTAAGGCCCCCACCCCCCAGCCCCACCCCCTGCCCCGTGCTAGCAGACATGTGCCCATTCTGGACCTACTCTGGGCCCACAGCCTCTTGACCCACATGCTCTTAGTCTCTAGGCTTTTTGGGCTTCAGGCCTCTCTCCATCCCCCCAAGTTCCTCACATGTGGGTGCTCTTTTCCACGTGGTTTTCTGTGCCCCGTTGTGAACCCCAATGCAGCTTCCATGCGGTTTGTCACACTTTCCAGAGGTAGCATGTACCCTTTTGAGACTGTAAAGCCTGAAACCTGTCGTGTGCTTCTTAACAACTCACTTGGATCACACAACATGCTTCAGCATGAACGCTTTCAGCGTGCGAAGCAAAGGACCGCAGTAAAAATCCACTCCAGAAACCTAATTGTACTTCTGGTTTAGTAGAAAATATGACTTGTTTCATTTCTAATAATCTGAATTGATTACTTTCAGATTATATTAAGTCTTAATTTGGCAAGAGAGTTTCAATATTATTGGCAGGAAGCCTAAAACTAAATCTCCCCAATATTTTCTCAACCTTTTCTTGTATATCCATAAATAATTCTAGTTGTCATTATACCTAACCAATACCACTGAGTCAAGTTTAACTCATAGTAACTTCATAGGGAAAATTTGATCTGCTGGTTTCTGAGACATAACTTGAACAGACAGGCTTATCTCTCTGCTGAAGATGGGGTCGTGGATTTGAACCACGGACCTCATGATTTGCAGAAAAATGCTTAACCCACTAAATCACCAGGGTTTATAGTTGAAGATAGTCACTCAAGGCCTGATAACATGCATTTCAAAGAGGGTGAGCCAAAACTAGCAATGCTAACTGAACAGTAAACCAAAACCAAAACAAAAACAACAACCCTGACATTACATTGATTCTGACTTAAATGGGCCCGATCTAGAGTTCCCGAGACCATAATGATAGACGTATCGTCCTTCTTAGCAGCGGGCGGGTTTGAACGCACTGGTCTTGTAGTAGGCAGCTGTAGCATCACTTGGGCTCCTTAAACGTAGCTACAGCAGACTAAAAAGTAAACTCACTACAGTCTCATCAGTTCAGACTCACAGAATAAAAGTACTCTGTAGGGTTTCAGAGAACAACAGCCTCATTTTCTTCCAAGGATGGCTGGTGTGTTCTGACCATCACCCTCGGGGTTAGAAGTCCAGCACTTTACCTAACCACCACAACCGCATCTCAATCTGGCGCCGTAGCTACATGAACACAAATCCACTGGAAAGATTAGGAATAAACTCCTACCACATTAGATGCCTGTTTAGTAAATTATCCTAGCAAGGTATGTACAGCCTATGGGGTACATTTATGATGAGAGTCCTAGAGCTAAGGTAGCCTGACTAGCCTTGGCCGACTTGCTTAGAAGTACATGTTAACAGGTCCAGTGTAACTACATTTGAAGATGCTGATGGATTAAAAATCACTTCTAATAGAACAATGGGAAGCTTGTAGTCTATGTAAAGTATGTCAAGGTTGTAATTTTTAATAGAAGGTATGTCACATTATTATGACACTTCAATCTGAAAAATTAGTCTTAGTAATTACTTCTTTGCAAAAATAATTTCTATTCTGTAAAACTAGACTTAATAATTACTTCTTGTTAAAAAATAAATCTTGCCTCTTAATGTGAGCCACCCAAAGAGAAATGAAGATACATCATTATATATTTATGTCATTAATTTTAACTATTAACAATAAATCACAGAAAAAAATCACATTCAAAATTAATCTTTCAAAATGATGATAGCTAAAAATAGTTTTATTTTTAAAATGTAAAATGGGATTATAGAATTTTATAATCTTTTCATCTTTACATTTACTGCTGACATATTTATTTCTAATTCTGTCTGATGTTATAATAAGATATTGTGTTGGATAGGGGAGACTTAAAACATATTTTTCAATTTTATTCACATATAGAAATCAAAGTAAAATTCCAGATACCTGGCCTACAGAAATAGTAGCCATTGGGTGAAGGTTAATATGCAAGCATGCCCAATGTAGCAATATTCATCATAGCAATGAAGAGCATGTTCATTGTTAGAATAGTCATTGGATAGATGATACATTCATGCTATGAGATTATAGCAATCATTAATGTTCTGTTTTAAACAAGTTCTAATGATGTGAATATGCGTAGAATATAAGTTAAAATTTAAAAGTAGTACACTAAGTTAAATTTGCACTGTGGCTTCAGTCACATAAATACCCAACGAAAAATATCACACAAACAAATGGATATTTCTGTACTTAAAAAATGATTAGCACATAATGTGTTAAATTATTTCCTTTTTAATCTTGATTTGGAGAACTCATTATCTTTAGCTCCTAAATATCTTTACTTGCATGCACCAAAAAAAATAAAGTTACATTAAAAAGCCACCCAAACTCACTGCCATCAAGTCAATGCTGACTCACCGTTAGCCGCTGTGGGTTTCTGAGACGGTAACTATTTGATGGGAGTAGAAAGCCCAGTCTTTTTCTCATAGAGGCCCTGGTGGTTCTGAACTGCCAACCCTATGGATAGCAGCCCAGTGCATAGACACTATACCACCAGAGCTACCACACGCATAAAAGGATCTTCATTTAATAACAATAGTAATGGTGACACTACCTAATGTGTACTGAGAACATTCTATGTGTATGTCTGATGCCCTAACCCCACTACTACTCTGAGCTATCCCTGAAGATACCTCATCACACCTTCCTCTCAGGCAAAAGGGCTGCTTGTGTGGAGGGCAGATGATGAACCACATGGAGGCACACAGACCAGGTCACCCTTCTCCCAGCCATGACTAATAGGACAAGAAGCACGGATCTTCATGCCCAATGAAGGCATTCTCTAATAGGTCAATTCTCCTAGAGCACGTCCCATCAGCTGAGTCATGAATACAAGATTTCAGCAGAGGCACTGCCAGCCCTCCTGCCTTTTCTCCTTACGCAAGATTCAGACTTGTGTTACAGACACAAGGCTCTCCCTCTCTATCCTTGATCTTTTCACTTGCATCTTGCAAAGGAATATCTCAGTAATAGGTCTTACTTTTGACTACTTAAAGACACACATTTTATGAAATGAGCCCCGTAGAGATGAAAAAAATGAACGATAGAATAAATTGTGTGACTTGTCTTAGGCATAGGAACTATCGAATCTGGGATTTGAGCATATGCAGTCTGATATCAAAGGTTATTTTCTTCAAATATATAATATTAAGCCAAGAAATGAAAACGTCGTTCTTTTTTGTTCCCCTTTGCAGTTTTCTTCACTCTCTCCTACTTCTAGCCCTTCTCTCCACCTCCTCCCACACTGAGTCTCCACCAAAAGGTCTTGTTCCTTGTGATTCTGCAACTGAGCCATGGATCTATCTACGTCTTCCCTCCTTGTGTCCCCTCTCCTTCTCTTTCTCTCTCTGTTCTCAAACTCACTTCTCACTCACAGTGATTCTGTAGTATGGAGTCGAACTACCCTTGCGCATTTCCACAGCTGTGAATCTGTAGGAAAGTAGGAAATCTTGTCTTTCTCCCTCAGAGAGGATGGTGGCCTTGAATAGTTGATCTTGAGGTTACCAGCGCAACTCCTAACCTACTACATCACCCACCAGGGCTCCTTCTCTTTCCTCGACCCTCTGCCTCCCCCTCTTCTTTATATCTGTGTGAGTGGGAGGCAAACCCCAGGTGTTCTAGTCCATTTCTCTGTAGTAGAAAGCTATCATCCTAACTTTGCAGATGCTGCATATTTATAGTGCATGAAAATATGTTTTCTGGGTTTAATTCTTTAAAAAAACCCACAACAAAACAAGCCAACAAAGAAATCTGATTGCTGTTGAATGGCTTCTGACACACCGTAGCCCTCTATAGGGCAGAGGAGAACTGCCCCATAGATTTCCAAGGCTGTCCATCTTTCCAGATGTGCACTGCCCCATCTTTCTCCTGAGGAGCATAAAGTGGTTTCTAACTGCTAACCTTCTGCTGAGCAGACAAGCACCAACTCTTGCATTGCTGAACTTTTGTTGGTTGCACAGAGGATCAAGATTGTGATGTGGAAAGGTCCCAAACCCTTAGGTCAGATGAAATGCCAGGCAGCCACTTAACAATATAGCGAAATGTCTTAAGACAGTTGAAATGCAGGGAAGGAAACATACATCAAAGCAGTCGTAAGACACACACAGCTGTGATCAGTGGAGTGAACCGCCTTGGAGAAGTCCTTCTCTGTGCTGGGTTTCCCTTCATGTGTTCAGTCACACACACCAGTTTAAAGAAAGGATCCATGAGGACCCTTCCCTTTCTAAAATCTATATTCCTACCAATACCTTCTCCTTTGACTCACACCATTCAAGGGTGAATTGAAAGTTCTATGAAACTGTGAAATCAAATACCCTTAAAAGCATATGGAGAGCTATTTTTAAAGACTTCAATCAGAGAGAGTCTAAATTTTCCATTTGCAATTTGCAATCTTAGCAACCATCATTTAGTGAAATGCCACCAGGGACACCAGCCGCTACACACGGAACACAACATGCTCAGGCACAAGGCATGCAGAGCCTCGGGGATTACCAGAGCCGTGGCCCGATAGGCTCCCCGTGGGCAGCCGCTGGAGCTGCTGGAACTCCATGTCCTGGGTCTTCCCAGGACGCCTCGAGCCCTCTGTGACTGGTGTTCTTCCTGCCGGTGCACCTGCCTGCCAAGGTCGCACAGCTTGCCTACAAAGCCTGCTCTACAAACACATTGTCCTGTTCTGTCGCACTGTGGTGACACAGAGCCGGTGGGATTGCAGGCACACAACACACAGAAGTGCTTCTCAGGGTCCCACCACATGTTGGGCTTGAAAAGCCAGAGAGGGGGGTGGGGTTGGGGGGGTAGGAAAGAACATAAGATTGAAGTTGTTATTTTCAAACTAGCCTAGAGAGAAGTCAAAGGCTAAAAATAACAGATTCTTGCTTTTGCATAACAATATCGACTATCAAGAAGACCTACTATGAGGGAGTGAATGGGACTCCCTCCAGTCAAGGAGGAGTTTCAAGGTAGACAGCACATGGAGGGTAGGGCGATATCCTCAGGCATGGAGGGCTACAAAGTTCAGCAAAATATTTCCACTCTGTACAATTACATCTCTTAAAAAAATACCTGGATTAACTTCTTTACTAAAACTTTTGCTAAGTAGAATGCTCGTTAGAACTGATGGCTAAAGGATGGAACTAGAAGAAAGTGCTTGCTAGAAGCCCCGGGGAAAGCATTTTAATTCTACCAAACAGTAGTACGCAAAGGCAAAGGAAAGAGTGCATTATTCTCCACAGAACAGGATGAGGTTCCTCTATTACTTCATTCAGAAACAAGTGAACGATTAGCAAATATCACACAAAGTCCTATGTAGATTGAAGGTCAAATGTTTCCTGTGCAGCATGTTCTTTTTGTTCTAACTTGAAAAAAATATCAGAGTTCACATTAATCGTACAGGTTGAGAGAATTCTTATCCTTCTTTCAATATTTGAAGGCGTATAACACATGCCATTAAAAGCTAACGCTATCTTCCAAGAAGGCGATAGCTCCGGGCTCTGCTCCCTCTTACCTTACACTCATCACACGTCCACCCCTGCACGTTAGGTTTGCAGTCACACTGCCCCGTCTGAGAGTGGCACACCTCGGAGAAGGAGCCGTTGACATGACATCGACATGCTGCAAAATGGGGGAAGATCTGTGGTCAGGAAAAACTGCCTAGTTATCTTAACAGGCTTTTTAAATAACAATATCCTCCACCTATAACATTCATGGTCATGGGTTCTTGCTTTTTTTAATGCTGTCCTCTGCATCATTTGGTCCTTACAACAATGCTACATGCATAGACATGTCAGTAAAAGTTTTGGCACCATGCCTGGCACCTCATCAGCTATTAGGGTAGTCATATCATCACTCTTCAGTTGGGAGAATAAGGACCACCAGTCAAATCAGCTGTAGTTTGACAAAGGTACCTCCAGGTGGGGCTGCTCTCTGTTGTACACAGGGTGGGAGTGAGTCACAGCCAACTGGAGGACACCTACCAAGGGCAAAGCAAAATGAGATGATGATACAGCTAAGTCTAGGTGCCCAGACCACAATGCCATCACTCCTCCAACGTTTGTACTTCTTTATGGATAGATTGGATTAAGATGTGAAGTATATTGCATTGTAAGTAATAAAATTTTGAGAAAAATCTCAACATTTACAGAATGCATAGCATAACATTCACATCACAATGAATCAAACAACATTTTAATAATTTGTTTAGTTGCATGATTATTTGTAATGTACTGGGTTTTGTTTTAAAATTGTAAAAATGAGCTTGAAGCAAAATAACAAAATATACCTTTATGTTGAAAAGCATATGTTAATAAAAACGTTTCTTTTCTTTTATATTAGGTACGCAGACTTATGATTTGAGAGACTAAACCTCTTATGTTAAATTTTACACACTTTCTCCAAGATAGAAACTATATTTAGTTTAAGTATATTTTTGACATTTTTCATTCATGAAGTCATTTAATGTCATTCTGAAATATAATAAATCAGTCTAAAATGTAAGCGTCTTCCCAGAAATAGAATGGCAACAAGTGTCTTACTCTGTAATCTGCAAGGGTACTTTTAGTGGTAGGCCTTAATACCTGATTTAAAAATATTGGGTGGGAGGGTAAACATAAGTTTTAGATGATTTATAGATGGCTCTGGTGAACTTTGTATAATGTCCAATAATTTTGTTTGGGCACAGCTTATGAACACATTATACATAAAGCCTCCATCAGCCTATCCCATTAGTCTACATTTTCCCCTGCTTCTCCAAAGAGTGCTTGGTTTTGTTGTTGTTTCCAGCAAAGTTTGGCCATTCACTTTCATTGCCATCAAGTTGATTCCAACTCAGAGACCATATAGGACAGAATATGGGTTTCTAAGACTGTAAATATATACAGCGGTAGAAAGCCTCATCTATTTCTCAGCTGCTGGTTTTGAACTGCTGATCTTCCTGTTAGCAAACCAATACATAAGCTACTATTGCCACCACAGTTCCAAATTGGCCATCAGTGACTGCTAACTTGATGCCCGTACCATGATCTTTGAGCAACCTGCCTCAACATTTACTCATTTTTCTCAGTGACGGCGTAAAAGTAGTAGGAGAAATGGGGAGGAAAAAGATCTAAGTCTATGTTTTTCTTTGAGAACTAGAACTTTTGTAGATACTTCATGCAATTTCTTGTGCACACACCCAGACACCTATATATTTAAATATATTTAGAATTTAAAAGTCACATTTTCATAAATTTACCACAAATGTGCAGGTGATGAATGAATTCCATAGAGGCAAAAAACACTATTAGGATTACTTTCAGTGTCATTTTAAGTTTTAAAGTATTACACAAACAATATACGTAAATTTATATAGGAAAACATGATCTTTGGAATGATATGCTTTTAATGAACAAATCTAAAGCAAAATAACATAGTGCCTTATTATGTGAATTCTCTTGAGGGCTTACCACCTATTGTAGAAGAGCTATTATAAATAGGAGAAAGTAATAAGGCAGGTTTTTTATATTTTAAATTTTATTAAAAGATAAACATGAGTAATGATTTAAAAATTTTAGTACAATCTTTCATGTGTTCTTAGGACTTTGTGCTTCAAATCATAAGTTCACCAGAGTCAAATGTGTGGAACTATCTCCTCAATTTTTAGGGAGGTGGTCACTGGAAAACAGAGACAGACGTCGTAAAAGGATTAGCAGGATGAGAGTCCATGAACTGTGATACTCATGGCTACTGCAGGCACTTTGAGAGATAAATCCTGTCCACCTAGGGGCCTTCCTCACCATCACTGCAGTGTGTGAGCCCGTGATTCCAGCAGGCAGGTCAATCCATCTCATTGAGGTTTTCCTTCGTTCTCAGTGACCCTCCATGTTCCTAAGCATGAGGTCATTTCCAGGGATCTGTCCGTCCTAGAAACGTGGATGAAGTGCACAACCCTAAAGCTCACCATCCTCTCCCACAGGAAGCATTTGGCCGCCGTTCCTGGCAGATGTAACCTTCTTCACCAAGCCAAAGGCATCGGTTCTTTGGGGGTCTTACTTATTCATTGCCCAATTCCTGGCATGCATTTGAAGAGATTGAAAAGATCATGGCTGAGATCAGGAGAATCTTAATTCTCAAAGTGACATCTTTGCCTCTTAACATGAAGAGGTCGTTGGGAACAGATTGGCCCAATTTAACAAGTTGTTTGATTTTTTTTGACTGCTGATTCCATGGATATTGATTGTAAATTCAAGTAAAAGGAAACCTTTGACAACTTTAATCAGTTTTACATATATTACGATGCTTCTTATCAGACCAGAGTGAGTATGTTTGTTTTTCTTAGGGTGAGATGTATAATACATATTGTTGTGTAGCATCAGAATCCCTCTGGCTTCACATGGTAGGAAGTGGAGAATCAGATTCTACATCCACCTGAAGCCAGTTCTTAGGAGGCAGAGGGCAGATGTAACTTTCCTTTCCAACTCTTCTACCCATTCTGACTCCCAAAGCACTCTCTCTGCTTCCCATCTGGGTTTGATAATTCCTTATATTGGCCACACAGAACACACAGACCATATCCATGATTGCAGGTTTTATTTGGGAAGTGAATAGGTTTAATTTAGAATCAAAAACATTCAGGATAGTGTTCTTTGGTCAGGGCAACCTTGTTTCTACTGTGCCTGCAGGATAGCCTTTCTCTGGCCCTCTGCTCCTTGGTCTGGCCTCTGCCTAGTTATTTAATGTCCAAAGTTGTTTTAATACTGCTGGCAATGCCCAAAGGGTATCCCATTCGACCCTGAGTGTCAGCCCCAAATGAGTTCACTTCTAGTGCTGTGGGTTAGCGAACTGGGCTCCCCAAATAAGGGTCTGGTGGTACCTCACTCTAGCAAGCAAGCCTGCCACCAAAGGGAATGGGTTTCACCCGCTCTGTGAGCTAAGACGTGCCTGCTCTGCCATGCTCTTGTTTCAGTACCCGCCTCTCCTTTGCCATTCCTCTTTGGCTTTTTGCTTGCTTGTTGGAGTGGGGTGCCACTAGGCACTTAATTTGGGGGGCCAGATTTGCTAACCCATGCTGCTCAGAGATCAAGCAGATTCAATTAACTTTAATCTCGAGGTCCAAAGAACAAACTCAACTCCAGGATAGTCTTTCCTGATAGTAGGACGATCTCCCTTTCCAGCTTCTGAGATGACTCGTTTTACACCCAGCTGCAGAGCAACATTGACCAATTTTATTGGCCGAGTTCCAAGCATTCACAACCAGAATTAACCTTGTTAAGAATCACTGAAAAATGTACCCTGTCAGCATCTTCCTCTCTTCTCCTATTCTTACTCATCGGGAAAAGAAGACTAACAGTATGTCATTCAGAGGGGGTTACAGACTCTTGCTGAAACAGCCTTATCAAATAAGTCACTGCACGAAAGTCACTGCACAAATAAGTCACAAGGCACGAACCAAACTAAAGGCTGCAGTCTTTGAGCTTTGTCGGTGCTTCAAAGCAGCTTTGCTTTCAGCAAGCAAAGTTGGGTAATCTGCTTATTGCCGACTCTTAATGAGTCATCCACCAGTCCTAATGCCTCTCTCTTCTTCAACTTCGGTCTCCTGCCAGCTCCTCGGGTTATTTGCAGAACACACAGATTGAATAAGTGCAGTGGAAGGATACATTCCTGACCCCCACTTTTTCTTATTTTAAACTATTCAGACAGTATTCCATTATTCTGTTTGAATAACTGCTTCTGGGTCTGTGTACAGAGGTGTTGGTGGTGCAGAGGGTCATGCTTTAGCCTGCTCCCCAAAGGGTAAGCAATTATAAACCACTAGCCATTCCACACGAGAAAGACGAGGCTTTCACAGTTTCAGAAACCCACAGGGGGAAGTTCTACACTGTGAGTTAAAATTGACTTACTATCACTGGGTTTAGTTTGGTCTTTGTAAAGATTTTGCTTGAGTTCAATGAAGAGTTCTGGAATTCTCACTCTCCAAAAGGTTTCCATCAGGTTATCCATAGGTTTTATGATCTCCAACAGTTGAATGCTTTCGGATAGTCAATAAACACAGGTAAACGTCTTTCTGGTATTCTCTGCTTTGAGCCAAGGTCCATGTAACATCAATAACGCTGACCCCCACTGCACATCCTCTTTGAAATCAGGTTTGAACACCTGTCAGCTCCTTGTGGAAGTACTGCTGAAAATGTTTTGAGTTATCTTCTGTAAAATTTTACTTGTGTACAATAGTAATGGTGTCATTTGATAATTTACATATTCTGTTATATCGCCTTTTTTGAAATAAACACAAAATGTGGATTTTGCAGTTTTTTGCCCAGGTAGCTTGTCTTCCCTATTTCTTGACATAGATATGTGAGCATGTCTGGTATTGAATTTATTTTTTCAAAGGTCACAATTGACATTCAATTCTTGGAAACTAATTTTTCAACATCTTTAGTGTACCTTGCTCCCTTTTCTTCATATCACTGGCTCTTGATCATATGTCCTTCTTGAAATGGTTGCTTATTGAACAATTATATGTGGCATAGTGACTATTTATTCTTTCCAGCTTCTCTTGTTGCTTCCTGCATTATTCAATAGTTTGCCTATAGAATCCTTCAATATTTCAATTTAAGGCATGAGTTTTTTCTTCAGTTATTTCAGCTTGAGAAATGTTGAGTATATTCTTTCAGATCATTGCATGCTTCCTTATTTTATAATGTATTCCCCATCTACCTTTGAAATCTATTGAGTTGATTTATTTAATGATATTTTTGTTGTTGTTGATGAGAAAATTGATTCTCAGTCCATAGGGTTTTCAGTGGCTTATTCCTATGAAGTGGACAATTAATTCCTTCTTTGAAGTCTGTTCTTAGTCTGGAAGCTCTGCTGAAGTTTGTTCACTTTGACCTTGCTGGTATTTGAAATATCAGTGACAATAGTGTCCAGCTGCATACCAGCACACAGCTCACTATGTGTGTTGACACACCGACAGAGACATGGTGGGGTAACATTACTAGAGTGGAGTTATCCAGAGAGATCTCACGACTGAACACAGATCTTGAGTGTTTGATTTCTTATTCAACAAATTGTTATTTTTAAATGCTAAAATACCTGGTACCCAACCCTCTATCTTAGGAGGACAGAGAGACACATTTTTAATTGAATTGGAGGGTATACCAGGTCTTTGATGGTACAACAAAGATTATAGAGAGACAATATTTATTTATAACAGTTTCTAAAATTCTGCAGGTCCTGGATGCATGAAAGAGCCCTTTCTTCCCTGCGAAGTTTGCAGCAATAAATGACCTTGGCTCGAGCTAATAGCACATGACGCGGTGCTGGCAGCATAGGGTGCTGGTGTGCCACTGTGGACGGACATGCCATTGGACTTTCCCCAGGAAGGTTATCCTTACACTTTATGTTGTCACTAATTTAAAAGATTTATAAATTTGAGCAATACCTATAAATACAGCTCAGCGAATGAAGATGAAGGAGAGACCCTATTAATGCTGAGGAAGTCCTATGGTAGCTAATATGATGGGGGAAACAACCATAACAGAGCAATTGCATTTTATGAATATTTCTAAAGTGAAACTAATCATTCAAGATTTACACGTCAGTACATAAGATAATTGACAGAATGTTAACATGTGTTATACTATGTAAGAATGCAAAGTACACATACAAATGCCTAAGCCATTATCTTCCACTGTTAGGAATAATGGAATAATATAGGCAAATACATTTATTGCCAGCCATGTTTAAACTGGAGATAAACAAAAAGTGGTAAAACATAAATTACCTAATCGCCAACTTATCCCTCCCTCCAATGGACATAAGTTCATTAAAAAATGACTTTTAAGGCATGTCTCTTGCAAAATACTTCAGCAATGCAGTGCTTTTCAAAAGATTTGCTATATTTGCTATGCAAAGAAATACTTTAGGATACACAGATAGCGTATATATTCTATGCAGCTGTCATATATGTATTGTACACAATGTCTTCCTCTTCAATCCCCACTCAGGAACTCATCATCTACTCTGAGGGAAAGCGCATCAGTTCTGTCAGGGGCATCAATAGTTTAGGACTTACGCTGACAGTTCTTTGCATCCACCGCATCTCCGAAATACCCCTCCGCGCAGAGCTCACAATACCGGCCTGCGGTACCCGGCTTACATATCAGACAGGCACCAGACAAGCTGTCACAGCTGCCAGGGATGGAGAAGTCCAGGTTGTCATTGCAGCGGCATGGCTGACATGATCCTCCAGGTACGGAAGGTTGTCCAAAATAGCCTTCTGCGCATCTAGGTGGAGATTTTCATCGATAAGCATTTGAGGAAAGTCATGAAATCCATTTGGGGGCAATGTTTACAGACTTTTCACATCACCTACCTGCCAAGATGTTCGCTTTTCCTTTTAAGGACTGCTTTTCTCAAATGCAAGGTAGTTTTTAAAAAAGTTTCACTTGTCTTATACCGACACTGTGGCTACAAAGATGAAATCCTGCCAGCCTCAACAGTAATTAGATTTCAGGCAGGAAAAGGAATCTTGGCACCAGCAATGAAGGCGAGATCAGAGCATCATAATACACCGGTGCCTGGAACGCTAGAGGAGCCCCAGTGCGTGCTGGAAAGCCATTGTAGTGCCCGCATCGTATGTGTCCCCTCCAGTGGGTTGTTTTCTGTACTAGTACGTAAGGTTCACACTTTGTGCTGTTGGTACAGCAAGCGCTTGTTATGAGGAAACAGGCTCACAGGAAAGCTCAGCAGCTGAAGAATTCCAGAACTTATTAAATCAAAAATGGTGACTCAAATTATTCTCATTATTATTGGGGTCCCCTCCAAAATCTCTCGGCAGGTACCTATGTGTTAAAAATAGATGTACCCATACTTGCACATTCATTCAGAGGCAGCTTTTCTGACAGTCCTTCCTAAGGGAAGTCAGAAAAGGCACGCCCGCACAGGGAGGCTACACACCGTAAGGTGATGTTGAACTGTACCTTTGCACCCACTGCCCATGCTAGCTCATTCTTGCTTTGTTTTTCCTTAGTGGGCAAATTCTATTGTGCAGAATTTCGAGAAAACAGCAACAACTTTACAAGTTAATTCATTTTGAAGGAATAGCAAAAAAGCTCTTTACCATTATCTCTCTGCCCTCAAGCCATTTCCACTCATCATATGGGCCCCAGAGGACAGGGGAGAACTGCCCCGGGGGGTTCTGAGACCAACTCTTTGTAGGAGTGTAAAGCCCCTCTTCCTCCCTCAGAGCAGGCTGGTGGTTGTGAATTGCTGACCTGGAATTAGCAGCTCAACGCTTAAAGACTACACTACTAGGACTCCCTTAAATACTAGTGGATGGAGTTTATCTTGCTTCAAAGTTATATTTAAATACCACCCTCCTCCCAAAAGGGGAACAAATAACAGAAATGTGGGGAAGGGAGACAGTGGTCAGTGTAAGACATGAAATAATAATAATTTATCAAGGGTCCATGAGGGTGGGAAGGTGAGGAAATGAGGGGAAAAAGAGAAGCTGATACCAATGGCTCAAATAGAGAGTAAATGTTTAGAAAAGGATGATGGCAACATATGCACAAATATGCTAGACACAATAGATGTACGGATTGTTATAGGAGCTGTAAGAGCCCCCAATATAGGAGCCGTAAGAGCCCTCTTTAAAAAAGAGTCTCAACGTGACAAGTCACACAGAAGCATACTTAAGGTGTGAGCACCTAAATGTATTCTGGACTGTTTTTCAGATAACATTTACTCTTCCTTTCTGTTAAATTAGATATGCCAACAGAGAAATAATACAGGGCCTCTCAAATTTTAGGATTAGGCTAGCTGCATTACTTCTTCTAAGCCTGGGTGGTATAGCAGGTTATACACTGGCCTGCGATCTTCAAGGTCAGCAGTTCGAAACCACCAGCCATCCTTGGAAGAAAGGTGGTTATAGTCTTGGGAAGTCACAGAGACAGTTCTACCCTGTCCTGTATGGCCACTATCAGCCGACATCAACTCAATGACTGAGTTTGTTTGTATTTTTGTTTGATTGTTTTTTGGGGGATGGTCAGAATAAAAAGTTGTGTGTGTGTATCAGAAGTCAAAATTGACGGAGAACAACAGGGAAAAACAAAATTTCCTCCCGTGGTAAACGAGGTCCATTCTCATTTAGTCATAGGTATGGAAGTCATTGTTTTGAGAACAGTTCTCTACTATTTAATATAGAAATGGCTAAGTAAAATACATTATTTTGGAGAAACTTTCATAGTATCATAATGATGCTATGATGCATCAAAGTCATTAATTTCAGACGGATAAACTGATTAAGCTTGCTAGAAAATGTGTATGTGCCTTAAGAACCTCATAGATTTAAGCTTTCCTTGTAACTTTTTAAAATGAAGGGATTACTAGTTTTAATTATATTCACAAAACATTTTACCAAATTGTGAAGGCATTTGTATAAATATTCCTTGGAAAGATAATGCCACTCACAAATATAATTGCCTATTAATTCTTTTTTATAAGATATGAACTAACATTTTGATGCATAAAATCCCTCCTAATACCTTCAGGAGGGTATTCAATAAAGATAATAAGGATATCCTTTTTAATTTTAGCCCAGTTCTTCTCAGCTTATTTGATATTCAGGACTTATGATCACATGCATATATATTCACATCATATTTTGTTTACCACTAGGAGAGAGACTTTGCTCCACTGGAATGAGGATACAAAATGATCATTATTATAGCCAACTAAAACCTATTATTTTTAGCTCACTTCCATCAAAATGACTTACTGTCCTCAGAAGATACAGCAGTATATAACAGGATCTGGAAAATTTTCTTAACATATATACTAATTAATTCTACTACATAAAAATCAAAATAAAGATGAAAACCCTCTCAATTCAGAGAGAAAATGTCCATGTTTATGTAGAATAACTGAAGAAGCAAGCGTCTTTTATTTTGGGTGTAGAACATGTAATGAAAACTTGTGCATATATATGAGAAAATTCATTCATATGCCACTTTACTTAAAAGTAGGGACAAGTCTCTACTCTATATTCAGATTCCCTCCCTGGTATTCCTTTATGCATGACTTTTAATATAGACAATAGCATTTTTAGAAGCTTATACAAACCTTTCATCTGGAATTAAAAATTATTTCTAGATTAAGTAAATACTATTTTACTCTTTACATAACTTTTTAAAAGAATAATAATAGTTTTTTTATTATTATTAACTGATTTATTTTTATTTATTATTATTAACTGATCAGTTAAAATCAGCATAAGTGGAGGGTTTTCAAAAATATATATATTTCTATCTTCTCAGATTCATCACTTCTCCCCAAACCAAATTCACTTTGAATCTCAGGCTTTTTCTCATTCATGTACAAGGTAGAATAATACAGTTTAAACAGCTTATTGGATTTCTTTCTAGAGATGGGCATTTTGATAAAGCAAAGTCAAGGTTCTGTTTCACATTCATAAGTTAACTTTTGTCCTTAACAAACTGCAATGTTTTGAAAAGTGATATCTTAAATGTGCTTGCAGCCTCTGAACTATACAAATAGAACACGTGCAGTGATGTGGTGTTTACCACCGGTAACTGAGGAACAAGAGGATAGGAGGGGAGAATGCAAAAGAAAATGGCAGAGCAGAGAAAGAGTGAGAAGGGAAGAAAATAACAATATGAAGAGGAGTTCTCTCTAATTTAATCATCTCTCTTCAGCAAAGTTCCCCCCCCAAATCCATGGCCTACATTCTAAAATCGCTGCTTTGCCCAGACACACCTCAAGAGAAGACAGCCAGGTCCAGAGGAAGGCTGGATTGAGTGGTTCCAGCTCAAGAGAAAGAGCACCAACACTTGTTGGCAGCCGTTAGAAGCGAGGAGGAGGTAAAAAAGGCCCTTCCCTGGAGCCTTCGGAGGGAGCATGGCTCAGCTGACACTTGGCTTCCATTTTCTCTGTGGACTTCCACTCTCCAGAGCTGGAGAGAATAAGGTTTTGTGGTTTAAAGTCCCCCTTCTGTGGTAACTTATTTGGTAGTGCTAGCATCCCATGAGGATGTGTGAAATGGCAGAAGAGTGATCCCCGTGGGTTCCATGGAGATGGTGGGAAGAGTTTGTTAGATTTGGAGGGTGGGGTTGTCCATAGGACAGAAAAACAAACATATGGGCAGAAACATACTTGGATAAATAGTTGATAGATAGTACCATAGATTGTCTACACACACAAACACACACACACACACACCTCTGTACTAGGTAAGCTTGTTAGAACTTTGATTCTAGCAGGAAGGAGACAAACAACTATTTTGAATTGTCTGAGACTATGTTCCCATGGTCTAGCACCTCCCACTCCAGCTATAAGATGCTTGCTACATAAAAGAAACAGGGGGGTTGTAGTCATATAAATGTAGGGAAGGCGAAATTGAACATGCTGCATTATTGCAGGACATGCCAAAACTTTTAACGTGCCACTAACTGCTTCTCAATACTAAATGATCACAGAATATGTTATTCTAGGAACATTTACAATTTGAAAAGCCCATCTTGGGTGTGTGTGTGTGTGTTGCTTTACATGGCTTAGTTTACACATCAGTGAGCTGCAACATTCACTTGCCTTCCATTTTAAATGCTGATGCCAGGTCAGTGAGGTACATTAGCTGGTAACACAAATCACATAGCATAGTTTAGATGATAAGGTTTAGATGCACAGCATAGTTTAGATGATAAGGTTTTCAATATAACTGCCATCTCCTCCTTTCTCTGAACATCTTGCCTCCCTTCCACTTCAACACACAATTCTCAAAAAATGTTTCCCCCATTCTTGGAATCCACCTCATAGAATTGGAGTGCAGACAAACACCGAGAAATGATAAATCCTAAATCCTCCTGGAAAAATCTCATCCAAATGCTGGCTAGAAAAATATAGTCTACAAAGTAATCTTCTACATAGGAATAGTTGAAGATACTCTTTTATTGAAAAAAGTTGAATTTGAGAAAATAGCATTTCCCATCTGCACAGGTATGTGTCCATTTTTTAAAAACCAGATGAAACATGTTTTTAACAGTAAATCATGCTTTCTCTGTGATTCTTGTTATTCAGATTAATAATCTCTCAAGAATTCTTGCAACCCTTCCTACATAAAGATGTGGGCTGCTTGAGGGCAAGAGGGGAGTAATGCTTGTGTGTATACCTAATGTCTGGTGGGGCCCAGCACATGGTAGCTGCTACACAGATGTTGGTTCAATAAAATGTCGGATGTTGAATTGTAGACGTCTCAGCAACTATTATGCAACATATATAAAAAATACAGGGCACGAAGCAAAATAATGTAAATACATGAGAGACCCTGCTTCCCTCCATGAGTAGATTGAATGACTGTGCCACAGAGCAGCTGTCATTTTCTGCTTGCTAAAAACAAAGAAGTTGCTTGTTCTGAGCTGGGGATTAAGCACTGGATGTAAATGTCTTGACGATTATATGTTTTTTCCCCATTATAGTAGGTAATGTAGACACCCACCCACCCCATCCTTCTTTCTCTGTCTTTTGAGTGAAGGACATTCAGTTTCTCCATGTGTTTCATTGCAAATAATTCCTACTTGTTCCAGTTCTGTTCTTCCATACTCATTTACACAACTGCCTTCCTCCCAAACAGTCCTGGTGGCTGCCGGGAAAGGCCCTTGGCACCTGGCTCACGGAAGATGGGCTGCTAGCTAAGTTCTCTCTGTGGGTTGGATCCCACTTCATTGACTGTATGCACCCTGGTGGGAACCAAGTGGCATCTGCAAGAGCACAGCAATGGACAGGCAGAAGTCATCCTCTGCGGGAGTGCTCTGGCTGCTGATGGGTGATGGCAAGTCACTTCTGCTCCCTCAAGGATGGTCACAGAAGGGGCTATTTTTAGTGCTCAAGCACAGTGCCTCATATTTGCCAATGAGACCAAGGGGGGGACTATAGCCATTTTCATCCTGATACTGAGTATAGGGAGGGAGCTTTTCTTTAAAAACTTTTCAGGAGAAACAGAAGCACGCCAAATGACGTCAACTCATATCGATGGTCCTGCGCGCTGCAACCTAGTCAAATCACCAGGAATCCATGGGCTGCGGCGTAATTAGAAGAGAATATAAATCATGATAACAAAGTGCAGTTTGTTAAAACACTCAAATACATTGAAGGTAAATGATGGACCACTAGCTAAACTATGACCTACGCATTTGAGCCACACGTTAAGGACAAAAACCTAATTATGAAACTAAATGGTGGCAATGCGGACAGCAAGATCAATCTTAAAGTTCCCAGGCATCCACTTGAGCAACACTCTCGAAGAATACCGTAGCTTCATACTTAACTTTTAAGATTCAAACATTAATCAACTACTCTTTGAGTGAATGGAGATTTATAGCACATTTTCTAGAGCAACTATAAACTTAAAATCATGATGCAGTTATTTGACAAGTACAGTATGGGGAGGAGCTTTATTTTACATCAGTGAGGTGGCCGTTTTTCAGAGGCAGGACAGAGCATGACTACGCCTCTGGTTGGATAACTCCCCGATGGAGAACGCCCTTTGAAAGACAGGGTAGTGCAGCTTACCTCTCACAGCGCGTTCCTGTGTACCCAACGGGGCATTCATCACACACCAATCCAAGACTCCAGTCTAAATGGCACGTCGGGCTAAAGCTATGTTGATTTGGTGGGATGATAACAGGGACAAGGGAGAAGCACAAATATGAAATCATTAACGGCATACTTTCATTTCTCTCTCACCGGCTCAGCTATGACATAAAGGTAAAGGCTGGCAGTTCTCCCCTCACACACAGATTGGGGTCTGGCCACTAGACGATGAAATGACATCACTATTCTGCAGATACAAATATAGTCCAGTGGAGAGCCTGTATCCCTGTGACATTGTATGAACCGACTCTTGCCTCTTCAGGGTCCAGTGGGTATGGATACCCACTTTTAAGGGACTCACTAGGTTGGGCAAGGTACAACCTCACATGCTTTCTGGGTAGCCAAGTCCCTGGGAACTAGAAGTAGCCCAGCGCAATTTTTCAGAGAGCTTGGAACACTCAGAATGGGATGGTTATGAAGGAGGAGACTCGCCTTGTACTACAGCCATGGCTGGTAGACATAGTCGGGATGCATGCACAGATGGGATGCTTAGGGAAAAGTCTAGAAGAGATGAAGTAGTCCCAGTCTGCCCGCATGTACACTAACACAAAGCAAACCACCTTGCCATTTCAAACCTCTGGCCTGTTCCCAATATTGCCGCTCTCTGTGCACCTATTCCTACTTTGTTTGAATTAAAAAAGATCACATCGAGTTAGAAACCAGTCAACTAACTATAAGCGTTCTCCAACATGCTTATCTCTGCTCATGCAACTTTGTCTTGCGACAGACACCTTTTCTGCCAGGACTTTCCCACAAGATCGACACAGTGTAACGTGCTCTTCTGATAAGCCGTGGACAATGCCCCACCATTTTAAAGGAAAATGCCCCTATTAATCTTTATCCAATTATGTTTCCCTAAATAGATTTCTTTTCTACTCTGTATGACAAGATGTCTCAGTACAGGCCGGCTTGATGGCTAAATGCACTAAAGGGGGCACAACAAATCAAGTCCCAATCTCATTCTGCTCCTGACACTGAGAGACTTTGAAATGTGTTCTTAGCTTTTGTACCAGTGTGATAATGTGCAGCAATTTTGAATAGTATTCCTTTGATTTAACTCATGGTAGGCACTTAAAAAGTCCTATTTTCTTTTTTTTAATCATTTTATTAGGGGCTCATACTACTCTTATCACAATCCATTCATTCATCAATTGTGTAAAGCACATTTGTACATTCATTGCCCTCATCATTCTCAAAACATTTCCTCTTCACTTAAGCCCCTGGCATTAGGTCCTCATTTTTCCCCTCCCTCCCCGCTTCCCCCTCTCTCATGAGCCCTTGATAATTTATAAATTATTATTTTGTCATATCTTGCCCTGTCTGATGTCTCTCTTCACCCACTTTTCTGTTGTCCGTCCCCCAGGGAGGGGGGTCACATATAGTTCCTTATAATAGGTTCCTTCTTTCCAACCCTATTTTCTGATAGTAAAAAGTAATTAGAACCAAGGTCTGTCTTTTGTAACATCTCAATTTACCAGAGAAGTTCAATCCATTTAGTGGGGCAAGGAGAGAAGGCATGAAGGGGTATATCCATAACATACATATTTTCCATTTGATAGATTCCAACTCTAAGGAGTTCTGAAGACTGCCACTAGCAATACAGCCAAAGCACACCTGACCTTGGCTTCTGATCCAGGGTCACTGGGGGGAAGAGTGGAGTGGGGGTGCGGATTTTTCTGGCATCAGTATACCTGCACTGAAGAGAATGCTATTGAGCGGATTCCAATTTACAGCAGCCCTAGAAGCCAGAGTTGAGCTTCAGTGGAGTGGCTGGTGTGTCTAAATTTCCCACTGAGCATTTCACAGCTGCTGTACCACCAGGGAGACTTACTGAAGAGAGCTGGATTTTTGTTCCACACCATCATTGAGTGATTTCCTACTATTGTCAGATACAAATGAGCAGACTGGGTTTCATATATATTTTTGACAAAATCTAAAATACATGTATGTCTTCAAAAAGTGGCATCCTAGAACGATCTCATCATCTATGGAGGAAGAGACCCCATTTCTGGCTTTCCCACCATGGTGGGATGATGGTGACTAAGGGACAAACATGGCAATTATTTCTTTAAATCCTAAATCAATTGACCATGGGCCATATTAAGTTTGGTTCGTACGGCTCCTGACATTTTAAAATGATTTATTAAAAATAGTTTTTGGGAAAGCGAATTTTGGGAATAATAAGGGAAACAAATGTATAGATGTGCTTTACACAATTGATCTATGTATTGTGATGAATTGTATGAGCCCCAATAAATTGATTTAAAAAATAGCTTTTGAAGTTTTAAATCTAGTTACACACTAGTGAAAAGAGACAGAAATAAAGTAAATTGTTGCCGTTAGGCGCCATTGAGCACCAGTGGCCCCTAGCGACCCTGTGCCAAACAGAACCACACATCCCGGGTCTGGGCCACCCTCCCAGCGGTTCTTGTGTTACAGTCCCATTGGCGCAGCCACTGGGTCAGCCCCGCTGGTCGAGGGCCTTCCTCCTTCCCCTGCCTTTCCACGTTAGCAAGTAAATTAAGGCTACAATGATATTTAGACTTCTTCCCAAGATACGTGGACTTGAGAGTGCCTGGAGGCACTGATATTTAAGCACTGCATGACTACGATCTGAGAGTTGGACAGTTCAAACCCATGCAGAGGAGTGTCAGAAGACAGGCTTGGTCTGCACCGTAAAAGCCTTACAGGTCAGCTCTGTTCACACCCACGGGGCCACCATGAGTTAAAGCCAACATGATGACAATGAACAATGACATGTGGATACCTTCAAGATTCAACACAGTTAGTGCTAGTTAATCACTAAGCTTACCCTTCCTCTCCCTGCTCGAGTCTCCACGATACGTTTGCATAATTTAGAAGGGATGGACATAATCCGCCAAATTCTAGACTCATCTTTAGTTCTGAACATCCAGTTCATACCCTCAAAAGCTGTGTTTCCTTTCCTTTCTATTTTTGAATCTTCCATCGTGCTGCAATTGTTTATATTTCTATAGCCCCAGTGGAAGCAGCATAGAGAGGTGAATCCAAATATGTCGGTTGTAATATTGCTTCTGCCACAAGCAAGCTGCACAATCACAGTCAAAACATTTAATTTCTCTTGACTTCAGTTTCCCTCTCTGGTATGTAGGATTGGTTAAGATCCATTAATGGCCCACGTGGGCCTAGAACAAGCATAGAAAGTGCTGTAGGTACCTAGAGCACGATGATTTTAGAACCTGCTCTATTACATGTTTCTTCATATTAATCTTTTGCCTTAGAATATTTGTATTTCTACATTTACAATATTTCAACCATCATTTAAAGTGACCCCTTGAGTGTGAATGAAAGTCAGCTCTTTTTCCAAAAAATAAATTGAGGATTCCTAGCTCATGTAAAGCAGGTAGTATTCAAAGGTAGAATATATTGAAGGATTATTTGCTACCCTGTCTTGTGTGCCTAGTTTTGTTATGTTATGATGAAAATCTGTAACTATTTCAATAATATTATTTATTTGAGCCCATCCGAAGTGTTCAAGCATAGAAATTCATGTGTCTCTTTCATACAAGTTAGGATATAAGCTACGTGAAGCCCCAAATTAATGAATATAAAACATTTGAAATATTTGCATTTTTACTTGTTTCTCTAGAGGTACACTTTACTACCTACTTACAATTTATAGCTATATGAGAAGTCCAAGCAGCCAGTGGACCCTCTAAATAGTTGACAAAGTTGATATATATGTATAATTTAAATATTATATGCTTGTCTGTATTCATACATCATAATAATTATACCAATCTATCTCTATCTCTCTACACATTTGATTTATTCAGCAATATTATCTAAGAAATTTGGAGCCAAAATGCTTGTGATCTATAAGATTTATGAGCAAGGATTAAATAGATAAATCACCAAGGCAAAACTATCACTAAGCTGTACCCTCCCAGATGAAGGTTGCAGCAACCTTTAGCTCTTATTTCTAAATAACCTGTGAAAATTCTAATTCCATCTCCTTGACTATATGAAAATATTAAATTTATTCCTCAAGGTTTCTAACTCCATTTACAACAGTCATGATATTTAATTTTTTAAATGGATGACAGTCTATCCAGACCATTATGTGTTACATTGGTTAGTAATTTAAAAACTCAAACATTTCAAGATCATTAGATTAAAATGGATACTCCCCATCACAATCAAACATTCAAATCATGATAATTTTCTAGGTTCTTTAAATTGAAAATATTTTATGGATGGAAATACAAAACTTCCAGGATTTATTAGTTGAATATCATGGTCCTGTCTATCTACTTATGAAAATGCTATATTTAAGGGTGGAAATTAAGATATGCTATCCATTATTTCCAATTCTGAAAAAGATAATATTAAATAACAGAAGTAAAAGTATCTTGGAAATTTAAGCGTCCATAAATACGCAGTGTAATTGATATTGCTATTATTGGAAAAAATTCAAGATCCGGGGAATAGCCTCAACTTGACGTGCCCAATGGATTGAATTCAAGTGGATTGAAAAGGTTAATATTCCAGTAAGTCTACTAAGCTTGATGATAAATTCATTCTCCACGTCTTTAGCTTATATGATTCATTGAAATATACTAACAAAAGATCAATGGCTCTCAGATCAGAGCCCAGACTACCAGACCACACCTTCACATTGAAGGCCAGAGTTATTTTATTAAACATGTCTGCTCCATAAGTGTTACCACAGCATGTAGCAAAGAGCCAGAAGTCTCCTAAGAAAATATGAATTTTACTATGTAGTTGTATTTCATTTAATAGGGTTGTCCAGAAAATAAAATCCCTTTTGTTTAAAATTATGAACATGTTGATTATGGTTCAGTGGGCTACACTTCAATACATCTTACTGGTTTTGTCTTAGGGTATTCCTTAACAGGCTACTGCAGGATAGCCATCCTCCCGGAATTTGAATCAGCACAGTTAAAATAAAGCATTCTTCTAAAAGACAAAAGCAAGTGGCAATCAAAGTATTGTTCCCTGGAAATCTGCTCTAAGAGGTTACCATTCTAGGCAAACAACTAGAAAGAAAAGACAGAAAATTGGAGGACTCAAAAAATTGTGTGATATTTGTATTAAGCTTTTTTTCAAGTTCAAAGCAGTTAACATAAGTGAGGATGTGATATATATATTAATATATTATATAAGCCATATTATAATAAATAAGGGAAATAACAAGTTTATTACTTCATTTTATCTTTGGAGATCTTGGAACTTTTCTAAGATTCACAAATAGTCAATGTGAGACAAGGATTCATATGACCAGCATTTGAATAACTTTTATTTTTATTGATCCATGATGATGTATGTGTGCATGTACGTGTGTGTGTGTGTGCATAAAATACATATGCTTTTGAGGGATAGTTTGAGCTCTCTATCTTAGATATTAAATATCCAAAACAACATGAATTCACCAAAATCATAATGAAAATAACATAATTCTGAGAAATTATCATAATTTAAAATCCTGTATTTAGGAAAACTCAGATTATCCTCCTAAAATACATGTATGCATTTATTTATGTGTGACAAGGAAAAGTGTACATTATAAACCAAGAGTCCATTTGTGGACCTAGATGTCAGTCATGAAAGAGCTACGTTTGTGACTTACTTATTTGATGGGATATTGAGAGGACAGGCGCAGGGTTGACAGTCTTCAGCGGTACCTTTCGTAGGATCACCATAGAAACCAGGAAGACATTTATTGCAATGTGGGCCACCTGTGTGATCTTTACAGTTCTGAGGAAGAAATGTACAGCAGAGTTCATCATTTTCATCTCAAGCATCAACCTACTGTCAAAAATTGGTCTAGAAATCCATTTTGTCCATCGTGTGCCAGAATAATTTTGCCACATTAAACGGTTGACTTTACAGCGGGTCAATAGCAATCAAAGTTAATTCAATATCTAACTTATAGGCTACATGTTAATTTTCACATATGCATACTTAGAAAAAAAGAAGACTTAAATTACACATTGTTTTCCATTTTATTTCATTTTACTCCTTAATTTTTTCTCCCTTAGGGAAAGTATGATTGTATGTGTGAATGTAGTCATAAGATTCTAATAACCTATGTTTAGTGGAAACGGTAGCTTATTCTAGGCAAAATCAACTGCTTGCCTTAAATTGCATCTTTAATGAGAACAGTGGCTAATCACACAAATCCTTTGGGTTTATTGCCGTTTTAACAGACATTATTTGTGGCCTTGTGGACTCTCACAGTTTGGACCATCCACTAATGTGTTATAGCTATGAGGGTTTTGCTTGACTCATAATTAAACCTTGAGAAAACTGAAAAAATTTAAAAATTAAAGCATATACCAAAATATAATGAACCAAAGTTATATACTCTTTTCCTCTCAGACATTTAAAAATTAAAATGGAACTTTAATAGTCATTAGTATTTGGGAATGTACATCTTTTTGAAAAATATGGAGTGAAAATTAATTCATTGTAAGCCTCGATTTATTGATAGTAATCAACTCAGACTATGTTCACAAAACTCAGGAAAACTGGTATAAAAAGTGAACAGTTCTATTAATCAAAGAGTGGAATTATCTACGAAACTTATAATATCACAGCTGGAAAGGTTTTTATGTCCTTTGGAATCATATAAATGTAATTTCAGTCTCTAATAGCACAACAAAATATATCTAATTACTATTAGAATCATAAAGTATGGATTCATTATGAGAAATATTTTTTAATTTTATAAGTATATAATATTACATTTTCTCCAAGTTGAGAGTTAAGTACATGTCATAGTACATAGGCTCATGTTTTTAATATTTAATAGGCAAATTTTTGGAGGAAACAAATATAAATTCACTTTAACATAGACTAAAAATATATTCATCTGGATGAGACGACCTTTAGGATGATAAGCTTATGTTAATGAACATTCTGATTATTCAGTTTGATATATTTTTAAAGAAGTTACATTTCAATTAAATATAGTAAACTTATTGAAGAAAATACAAATATACAAACATAAACATAGTTTTTGAAAGTAGTTTTATAAAGGGGCCTAGAAGGGAGAATTCTTTATTGAACAGAAGATACTGGCATTATAATAAAATCTTTGAGATGTTTAAGCTCTCCAATTGGATTTATCGTCTGTAGAATTAAGGTCATCACTGAACAACATGGCTGCATTCCAAAGGCTGGGTGGTCATTTGGGCAGTGACAACCCAAGTGAACATATCAGACACAAAATGCAGGATGACTACATCGTTTCATAACCACCAAATTCCACCATGATCTACTCGCCAAACCACTGAGAATCCTCACTCAGACATCTTGACTCATAACCATCACCTCAAACCCTAGCCAGCTTGCCTTGTCTCTCAGCATTCATCACTGCCAGGCACATGTCACCAAAATGCAAAAGAGTCAGATAGTATATATATTTTTTACTGTGAATGCGAAATGTTGCTTCTTTTTATGACAGCATTCTATTAAGACCAAGGGAGAGAATAAGACCATTACTGTTTGTCTGTTCACTGTTCACTGATTCCTGAGACATGTTTACACACCTTTGTTTGGCAGAAATCCATGCATGTACACACTAAAAACCTAGGGTCGTTGGTAGGTGCCAGTGGGTAGAGACCTTATGCACAACAGAAGGAAACACTGCCTGTTTGGTGTACTGTGATGACTGTGTGTTGCTAGCAGCAAGGCTACCGGTGTTTCCTTGCCAGCAGGGTTCTCCAAATTGAACACGTTTCAGCAGCGCTTCAAGACCGAGAACAGACAATGAAAAAGGAAGCCTCTCCCTACTTTGGAGGAAACAGCCACTGAGATACCTTTCATGCATACCTTCGAAAACCTACTAGCAACACTTTTCCCCTTACACTTGTAAGTCAATATACACCATGTGCCACAGATCTAGCTTGCTCTCTGATGGCAAAAATACAGTTAGGTTGGGTTTTAAAGCTGACCAAGGTTACAAAGTGTATCCATAATTTTCATAAATTTTCTGATTAATTCTATGAAAAACAGAAACAAAAACCAACCACATGAAGAATAAGAAGGAAGACAAAATGTGGTTTAAGTGAATGATCAGGAATCTCCTAGTGTAAACCCAGTGTAAGCATTTCTCTTTTGGTGGATCATATCAGAAACCACATGTTGGAAGTTGGGTATGGATGCATAACTAAAAATAGGAGTGGAGATAAAGGACATTTGAAAGGTGCCCCAAAAGCTCTTACCTGATCACCTCTCTACCAGTAACTACCCCAGGCTCTGTCTCTCCCAGTAAGCTCTCGGGTTTCTTCACAATTGTCCCTGTCACCTGATTTCCTGAACAAGAACGCCCTGTCCAGGAAACAGATAATCCGCTTGGCTTCAAATGCCTCGGTGCTCACAGTTCCCTCACTACTTTTGGCCAAAATGACCCTGGATGAAATAATTTTATATTTTAAAATGACTTCTATTCATAGAAACATCAATATCATTTGGATAGAAACACCCAAATGGAAAATCAATATAATTTGAATTCAGTAGGGGAAAAAAAAATTGTCTGGTATCATGATATATTTATTTTGTCTTTTATTAAATTTAAATTAATAAGGAAAATCAATATCCATTTCTGCTGAATATTTCCTCTTGCAAACTGTTTAGATATAACTTAATATTTTTCCAAAGGTACATTTTAAAAGACATATGATATAATTAAAATGAAAATCACTTAGTCTTTTCTTCATAAAAATGCCCTTTGAAAAATCTACTGATCCACAAATTCAGGCTATGAAGCTTTGCAGTGCAGTGCAATGCAAGAAAGTCCTATACCAAGACAGCAGAAAGAGCATCAATACACCTACATGTCAAATTGCATTGAAAGAAAAGTCCTTGAATTTTCATTTTGGATTTTTCCCAGAAGCTTTTAAGTAGAGGGAAAAGGGGGATGGGGGTGGGGCTTGGGCAAGAGAACGAAAGCACATTAAGACGTAAAGACAGCAGAGTCTACCTTAACACCTGCAGGGAAATGAGAGTATGATATCCTGCTAAACTGGCACTATTTCAAATTACGTTTCTGCAAGACTAATGAAATGAGAAGTGTGGTTTCAAGTGTCATGCCATGTCAGACAATATAAAACGAAAATGCCCTTGAGTTAATTGGAATGGTCTATTCAGAAGAATTCACCAATTGAAAGACTTTGGAGCACAAAGAAAGCGCTCTGCCCTTCGTAGAGCTTTAATTTCTCCTTCAAAGTAGAAGTGGTTGTAGAAGTAAGTAGCTCTAGTGAATGCGTACTGCGTGTATTTGTTATTTTTAATCTATTTACACATCTTAGCATTTAGTGAAATGCTCAAATTCTTAAATAAAAATCACACAGCATGCTCACATTTTTAATGTACATAAGATTGACTGATGAGAATTACAAAGGTTGCATTTTTCATTTTTCATAGTATGGTGATACAAATGATTTCCTGTTTTAGCATAAAGCCATATGTATTCACCTAGCTATTATTCAAGCTTTATAGTGATGCATCTGATGCTAATTCCCTTTCTGCACAAATGTGAATACACATGTGTTTGTACTTATTAGTCAGGGAGACCAAATGCAATAAGGCATTCTCAGCATACATCTAAATTCAATATAAACTTTATGTCAAATCACTTCTTTGACTCAACTGTCCCAAAGGGAGTAAGTGGATTGTGAGGCTTGCTGAGCTGAATGAAGCCTCCAAGGAGGGAGCTTCCCCAAAGCTGAAGACACTCACCAGACAGTCTGCGGTGATGTCATCGCAGGACTCCGCGTGACCAAAGCATTGACACGGCTCACAGATGCCAGCAAAGATCGTGCCATTAACTCGTCTGTGCCCGGGCCAACAAGACTGAAAGAAAAAAGTGTTTTTCTTTAAATCAATCTTTGAGATTAAAAAAAGAAAATATGGGTTCATTTTTTGTGTTACAGGGTGGGTAAAAGACGATAATTTAGCTAGAATGCTCAGTAAATGAAGTTGTCAAAGAGTTGACATTATTGAAACGTTGCTACAAAGCTATTCTTTCTGATATTGGCGCTTGGTACTGACCTTAGAATTACTGGCGGGCATGAGATTAAAAGAATCGTTAGCTTGGTTTCTGTTCTGAAATGGTAAAATAGAGCAGAGATATAAAGATTTGAAATGTGACAGAGAAAGTAAAAACACAGCTGGAAAAATAGATGGAAATGTACTGAAAAAGATAGCAAACGTAAAAGAACCTGGAGAAATGCTTTGCCAAAGAGAGCGTGCACTATCACCCCAAACTGTTTTAATCTCTGGCACGTGCTCGCTTCCCCAGACACTCGCTATACTTGATAGAACCGTGGTGATGCGGCGGTTGAATTTTCACCTGGCATAGGTGTACTCATCACCCATCTGTCAGTGGTTCAGAGTACTATGATGCTGAGAAGGGTTTAGATAAGCTTCCAGATTAAAACTTGGAAGAAAGGTCTGGTGATCTACTTTTGAGAAATAATCCATGAAAACCCTGTAGATCATTAAGATCCAATTCAAAGGGCTCCAGAACCAGTTATGAGGATGGCACAGGACCAGGAAAGACTTCAAGCCTTTGTGCAAGGCATCCTAATCCGTTGAGGACCAGCAGTGCAGCAGCTACAATAATTGCCCTTAATTCCATCATGATCACCAAGTATTTGAACTCATATTGGAGCAAGGCACCATTCTGATCTTGCATTTGGCTTTATAAATATGACACATTAATGCGCATAACCAATATCTTTCATTCTAAATTTTCTTTATCCTTCTAAAATTTCACACAAAAATCATGAATCATTTTTTACATATCCTCATAAAATTTATTTCATGACAGTACCCTACTATAATTTTGCTCATAGTCATCATCCCTTATTTAAAATGTGAAACTCTTTATTCTCCAAAAATGGAATTCTCCTTTTGGGTCTTCGATTACCTGTGTATCAATATCTGCTCTAAATCCTCTGTCACTCTTGTAATTAACTTTTCCTTCTGTGCGGATTACTGTAAACCAAACAGGAATGAAAAGTAAGTGCAAGGCAAATACTGCTGCCTCCTAGGATTTTATGGCCCCTTGCAAGTTAAAACCACGCTTTTTAGGTTACTTACTGTATTTGAGTGATTAAAAAAAAATCACAAAAGGTTTTATTTTGCTTTGCTTCCTGTAAGTTGCAAATGGAAACAAGAGAGGCACCATTTAAGTAATAAAATATAGGGAATCATGGTTAAAAACAATAATAATAAACACATTAAAAAGAGATGTATTGATACTTCATATCTGATAGGAAAACAAAAGAAACTTCCCTCTTAATTTCGTCTGTATAAAAAGGAAGTGTCAAGTTCCTTTCTCTTCCTAATAAATCCTTTTCATTAAAATATTTGGCACCCTACATTTATTGATCTCCTTTTTTTAAATCAGAAAAGCTTTGTGTCCAGGAATGGGTAGAAATCAGGGACATTAAAATATATATATGGAGGAGAGAACACATTTTTGGTGCCTAGGACATATATTCATGGACTTTTCCTTAATATGATTTTTATGCTCTAGAACTGAATTCTTTATCCCAGGTCTTCTTTAAACTTTCCAGCTCCTGCGCATCTTGTCCAATGATTTTATCTCCTTCATTGCTACGGAGTTTACACCAACTTCAGATGCCTCCGTGTTCAACAGGCCCAAAGGTGGCCCAGTCCTCCTTCCACTATCATTGCTACCAAGTTATGGGCTCCAAACATTTTTATTCTGTTTTTCAAAGTGAATTTTTCATTGTGAATTAGGTGAGGGGGTTTACTTTCAGACTATCAACTCTGCATTCCTCAGTTCAAACCACTCATCAAACACTCCCCTGCTCCCTGCACTCCTGGAAGATTTCCTCCTCCCCTCTCTGATGGACTGCCATCCTCCCATGTCACTCAAGTCAGTGTTTGGAAGTTTTATTTTCCGGGCCCTAGTCCTACCTTCTTGAACCTCCCAAGTCTGTCCCCTTTGGTTGTAAAGCCTTTGCTCAAGTTTTTATCCTTATAGTAGTTGTTTCATATAATATCTGTCCTTTTGTGATAACTATTTTTATTTACCACAGTGTTATTGAGATCATGTATGAGCTATTTTGTGACCTCATCATTGGTTTTAGCAGTGCACAGTATTCAATTGTGTGTATGTACCAAGATTATTTATCCATTCTTCTACGGATGGGCTTTTGAATGGTTTCCAACATCTTGCTATTGTGAACAGTGTCGCAATGAACCTGGGAGTGCATGTATCTGTTCGTGTTATGGTTCTTACTATTTTTGGGTAAATACTAAGCAGAAGAATTGATGGATTCTATACAAGTTCTATTTCCAGTTGTTTGAGGTAGCACCATACTGCTCCCCACAATGGTTGTAGATGTTTACAGACCCACCAGCAGTGGATGAGAGTTCTAATGTCTCTGCACCCTCGCCAGAATTTGTTGCTTGTTGCTGTAAATTGGTATCTCAACATTATTTTGATTTGCTTATCCTGGATGGCCTATAATTGTGAGCATTTTTTCGTGTTCCTTAGCCATTTTAATGTCATTTTTGGTGAATTGTCTTTTCATGTCCTTTTCCACATTTTTAATTGGATTATTGGTTTTTTTGTAGTTCTCTCTAGTTGTTAGAGTAGTCCCCTCTCCTCGGTGTAATTGCAACTGATTTTACCTCCAGTGTGTGGGTTCTCTTTTTACTCCTTTGTTGAAATTTTTATGCATGTCAGTGTATAATTTTTAGTAGTTTTGAGTAATCAATTTTGTCTTGTACTGTCTATGCTGCCTTCATCATATTTGTAGTATGTGGGTGCCTTGCAACAGGACTCTTGAGTTTGCTCAAATTTTCCCATTGATGATCTTTATATTTCTGAGATTTATATTTAGGTCTTTTGTGAATTTTGAGTTTGTATTTGTACATGGGGTGAGGAATGGGTGATGTTTCATTCTTCTGTAGATAGAGATTCAATTTGACTAGCACTTATTGTTGAAGAGAAAGACTATCTCTTTCCCATTTAATATTTCTTGGTCCTTTGTTGAAGATGAGTTGCCTATCAAGAATCACTTGCCTGAGTTTTCTATTCTGTTCCATTAATCTGTGCAGCTATCACTGTATTAGTACAATGCTGTTTTGACTATGTGGCTATGTAATATGTTTTGAAATAGGGTAGTGAGCAGCATCTTATTTTGGTCTCATTCTTTTTTTCCCCTAGTTCTTTATTTTTATTTATTTATTTATTTTTAAACCATTTTATTAGGGGCTCATACAACTCTTATCACAATCCGTGCACACATCAATTGTGTAAAGCGCATTTGTACATTCATTGCCCTCATCATTCTCAAAACATTTCCTCTCCACTTAAGTCCCCAGCATTACGTCCTCATTTTCCCCTCCCCGCTCCCCTCTCCCTCATGAGCCCTTGATAATTTATAAATTATTTTGTCATATCCTGCTCTGTCCAACATCTCTCTTCACCCACCCCTCGGCTTTCCGTCCCCCAGGGAGGAGGTCACATATAGGTCCCTGCAATCGGTTCCCTCCTTCCCACCCACTTTCCCTCTACCCTCCCAGCATCGCCACTCACACCACTGGTCCGGTCTCATTCTTAAGAGGCCCTTTGATCTGTCGGAATCTTTTCCCCTTCTATATGTCAGCAAATAGTTTTCCTGTTTCTTTAAAAGGAGGAGTTGGGAGCTGGATCAGAATTGTATTGTGTGTATAGATTGGTAGTTAATACTTGTTATAATGTTATAATTTTAAGCCTTCCTATCTATGAACTTTGAGTAATCTTCCAATTATGAAGGTCTCTTGATTTCCTATAAACTGTTAAGTAGCTTTCTTTGTACACGTCTTTTGTTTCTCTGGTTATTTTTATTCCATCGTTCATGTGCTATAGTAAATAACATTGTTTTCTTGATTTATTTTTCAGAGTTCATTTCATTAATATATAGGAATCTGATGGGTTTTTGTACGGTAATCTTGTATCCTACCACATTGCCACATTTTTCAAGTAACTTTTTGGTCTAGTCTTTGGATTTCTACATGTAGAATCACACCATCCGCAAATAGGGAGAGTTTCACGTCTTTGCTCATCGGGATGCCTTGATTTCTTTGCTTCTGCCTAAGAATTCCAGCACAGTGTTGCATATGAGTGTGCGTGCTCATCTTCTTCCAGCACTACTTCAGATTCCATCGGCTAATTCTAGAAAGTAGATTACCAAGCCTTTAATCCTAAACGGTTTTAGTATGGAAGCTTGGCAGATACCTGCTCATCATGGGCAATGCTTCTGATATTGAAATGTCTCTGTCATAGCTTCCAACAGCACAGGAATATGCAAATTGAAATATGCAAATTGCCACAGGATGACACACTGACGTACCGGTGTCCGCTCATCTCATTAGTCACAGAGAATATGAAATATTTCTGAAGGTAAACTATTTTAACTACCAAATCCACAAGCCTTTTTGTCTTATTTCCCTCATAATGTATATGTGCATGTATATATATATATACAAAAAATATTTTACTTTAAATATCCCTGGACTTGTAATCTGAATTCTTTTTTTTTTGTAATCTGAATTCTATGATATGTTGCCTTTCTAGCTTCTGTTGCATTAATATTAGCTTTATTTTTATTGGGTTATTTCTATTAGCACAAAAAATATGACCTAGCTTCTCCCATCAAAATTAACAAAGATGAAAACAACAGAATTACTACCTTAACGTCAAATAACTCTCCAGTTACTTGTTTTTCTCTTCAGTAAAGCTGCTCTAAAGAACTGTCTACACACCTTTCTTGGTTCACGTCCTTTCACACTCCATTCCACTGTAATCTGTCTTGTGCCTCCATGGCTCTAAGAACGGTCTTGTTAGGGACCAAACAGTGGGCAGCCAAAGCCAACAGATAGCTTCATAGTTAATTTTATTTGACCCCCTTTAAATATTTTGCACAATTGATTCACAAAACGTTCTTAGCTGTAATATCTATGGAAGCATGTAACTAAAGCCCTCCTCCTGCAGTGCTGTTAGGTTGGATTTGAACTACCAACCTCTAGGTTATTAGCTGAGTGCAAACCATTGTGCTACTCAAGGACCTGCCTAGAATTATAGTATTCCCAAATGTATACTCATCAACTACTTGTTAGTTAAATGAAAATATGAGCACTTTTATAATATGGTTAACACTTCACACCAAGTGTGAAGAGAATTCCCAGAAGTGTGAATGAGGTAAATAATTTTGAATCGCCTTGTGGAACCAAATGAAGTAAAAAAATGACTTTATAATGGATCCGTTTAATCTGTCTTTGACTAGTTGTCCTCAGCCATCTAGAATTACGACATTAATGGTAATTGAAATATGTTCAGTTAGGGATCTCAGGATATCAAAAGTAAAGCCAAGATACTTACTGCATGAATCAAGCTCCGTTTAAAAGACATCAGGAAAGCAAATGGTTAGGGAACCCTGGCTCTCGGGTAAGATGTGAGCAAGTAAGGAAGAAGGAAGGAGGAGGCCCGAAAGAAACTGCAGACTTTGAGATTCCACAGCTTCTTGATTTGACTACACTCTTTTATAGAGTTTAAAGTAAACTGACTTATCAATAAATTCTGCGTGGCAGTCAGTCACAGGATGATTTCTGCTGCTCTGCTGCGATTCTTGGTCATATTTACACACATGTGCTTTAAACCTGCGATGTAATTGTTACCGATGTTTAGCCTCCAGTGTGAGGTTTCTCCACCACAGAGTGCTTCCTGTGGCTGCTCTCCACTGGCCTCAGTACCCCCTTTGAAAGACTGTAGCACTCATGCTTGGTACCACTTCTGGTCCCTCAATTACGTAGTTCTGTAATTTAGTTTTTCATAGCTATGTGCTCCGTCTCTCTAAACATATGGTTCATTTTTTAAGGACATGGATTGTGCTGTATATTTCTTAAAAATCCTCCATCATCGAATGCAGAATTTATCAAAGTTCTCAATAAATATTTTTGAAGATGGAGCCAGCAAATGTAAACACAGATAATTAAATAGTTCTAATATTCAGACAGTTTTATATTAATGGGCATTTAGGACTTGCGTAAGCTGGTGAGGAGGACTAAGAATAACTAATGTGGGTTTAAGTGTTAAAGTGTGAGCAGAATCCAGGTTTTTAATCAGTCCCATTGAAATAGGAATGTAAAGGTTCAAAGGGAGCTTTCTGATTTAAACACCAAAACCACAAGACTCTTAATAAAGTAATATATTTTGTCAAATATGGCACTGCATGTAAAAGCAAATCTGGGTTGGCAGAAGTAATTCATATCCACAGTTACACCTTTACTCTCTACTTGACTTTTGGGAAAGCAAGCACAACACTGACTTGCATTTATTTTATTTTTTTCTGTGTTTGTGAATACGAGACCAGTTAAAGCACATCTGTCACTCCTATGACTCGCAGGCTGGCATATTCTCTGGAAGCATGCAGTATTTTAATGTACAAGAAAACTGACAAAGCAATGCCTAGAGTATTTCTATTAATGGCACAATGTAGTAATGTTCTGAAGTGGAACATCATGGTACACTCAAACAATTCCTTAAAGGCATTATTTTTTAAGATGTTAAGCTCCTATTTATCTTCAAGCCATGCCCTCTGCTAGAGAAATATTGTTTACATGTTTTGACCTTGTTTCAAGCAAAACCACTTTTCAAACCACCTAACAGAAAATACACAGAAGTAATAAAAAAGAATAACTTAAAAAGATGCAATGTGGTATGAAGAAATATTAATCTTACTATAAATCTGTAATTTTGAAGGACCAATAAATAGCTCAATCTCTAGATTGTAAACAAATCAAAGGCCTGTAGAAGTGTTTTTGATGAAAGTATGTCATCTACATATTATATATACATTTGACATTGATGATTATGTTTCAGAATATTATGACTCAGTTGGTTTCTTGAGAAGGAGAAAAAAATGTACGGTGCAGGTTTAAAAAATGGGAAAACACTGAATTTCAGTACTAAGTGGAAAAGTGGAAATGAAAGGAATATTTGGAAATATTATTAGCATTCAATGGATTAAAGAGTAGAAATAAACATTTGTGGAAATAAACAATTTTCAGCTATACTAGGGAAGATAACTAAAAAAAAGATAAAACAATATCATTTCTGAATAGCACTCTATTCAAAAGCTATGACGTTTGGGCAGGCATTCAAATTTCTTCATGAGGCATATATTAGCATTTATGTAAACATTGATGGGAAAACTAAACTCTTGTTAGAGCAGTATATTGCAAATGAGTTAGGATAACTGGAAAACAATTGATGCAGTTGAATTATGGTAAAGAATATTGCGTCTAACATGGCCTCCCAGAATAATGAACAGCGCTATCTCGGAAGAAGTGCAGCCAGAAGGCTCATTACACAGGAGGACTGCAAAATTCATCTTAAGTGTGAGGGGTACCCCCACAAAACAGGAAAAAGCTCTGCTGGGTGGAGATTTTGTAGTACACATTTTTCCTGCTAAGCGACATCGAGCCACTTGCTCTGAGTTAGTGCACCCAGCGGCTTCACCCGGGAAGTTTTTTTCTGGTCACAACGGATTTTTTTCATAAAAGCAGTTTCACTCAAACCTTGTTCTTTTGTGTGTGTGTGTGTGTGATGGCTGATTTAAGAGATCCTCATGAGACTGTGAAAAATGTGTTCCCTGCTCAGGAAAAATGCTGCAGAAATGGTTGTGATGTTGAACACAGCTTAAAAGGATGGCGCTATGGGAGAAAACGCAAGTGTATAAGTGGTTTTCTCTTTTCAAAAGAAAGGTAAAATGTTGATTGATGACAAACCTTGTTCTGGATGTCAGTCAACTTCCCAAATGAATGAAAACATCTACAAAATTCATGTACTTGTGCTCGAAGACAAATAACAGGCCATTAAAAAATGGAGACATTTTCTGGACTATCTTGGAGTTTGGCTCAGCGGATTTGAATGGAAGATTGGGAATGAGAAGGGTTGCTGGCGACATCCGTGCCTTGGGGTCTGACTGATCAGGGAAAAGCGTGCCTGCCGTGTGGAAAGACGCCGTGCTTTGAAGGAACAGCTTAGAAGCGATCCAGGATTTCCCCCGCTAGGTCATTACAGGTGCAGAGACAGGGTCCTTCTCTTATACCCCAGAAAGCCAGCATCAATCAAGCCAGTGGAAGATCCCATGATCACCTCGCCCCAAGAAAACTCTTCAAGTGAAATTAAACATCAAGACACTGCTTGATTGTGATTTTGATGTGAGGGGGTCAGTGCATTTGGAATTCGTTCCAGCAGGTCAGGCTATTAACCAAACTTTCTATTTAGAGGTTCTGAAGAGATTGCATAACAGTGTCCAACAGGAAAGGCCTGATGTGTGGTAGACCAGGGACTGTTTTGCCACCACGACAATGCACCTGCCCACGCAGCCATCTCAGTGCACCCGTTTTTGACCCAAACAGCCTGCCTCTCTTGCCCCAAGCACCTGAGTCACCTCACCTCATGCCTCGTGACTTCTGTTTCCGTGAACGCAGAGGGACATGAAAGGACAGCAATTTGATGACGTAGAAGGGGTAAGAAAAAAATGAGTGAGGTGCTGTCAGCAATCCAAACAGGTGACTTTGAAAAATGTTTCCAAGAATGTGTTAAGGGTAATGGAGAGTACTCTGAAGGTGATAAGGTAGTTTTGTAATAAATAAATAAATAGCTCTGAAAAAAAAATCCAGTTTTGGGGGGATACCCCCTCATACTTTGGCCATGTTGTCAAAAGAGACCAATCCCTGGAGAAGGTCATCGTGTTTGATATTTAGAGGGTCAGTGAAAAGGAGAAAACCCCTCACGATTGACACAGTAATTTTAACAGTGTTGTCACACCTGGCAATGATCGTGGGATAGTGGGTAGTGCAAGCCTGGCCAGTGTCGTGCACTGGGTCACTAGAAGGCGGCACTGACACTATGGCACTGAACGAGAGCATTAATTAAAAACAAACAGCACATTGAAAGCAGCCCTGGAGGAGCTTGGAGTGCACTGAGCACACACGCATGGACACTTACTTCACAGGAGGACCCACTGTACCCTGGCGGACACTGGCAAACTTCCACAGACGCCGCAGCGCCCCCTGCAGTCGGGTACGGGACAGCCGACTCCAGAACAACATCTCTCAACCTGGGAGAGAGCGAACAAGATAGACTCTTGTTAAACAAACTCGTGCATGGGCATTATGCAAATGTGCAATAACAATTTTATAAACATAAGGAACATATCTATGCGCCCAAACTAGGCATGTGCATATATATCAGTCACTTGATGCTGTGTTCAATCATTAAGTTAGGTAAAGTCTGGCTCGGTTGCAAGTGCTCAGAACCAGCGCTGTCATTACATGCTGAAAAAACACGAAACGCTCTTCATTTGACATGTTCAAGTCCACTGAGACTCACGGCAACCCTGTAGGACCGGGTCCAGCAGCCCGGGCGGGCTTCGGAGGCTGTGTATGCGGGCAGGGCAGCGGGCATTTCACACTGCAGCCGTGCATGCTTCCCCTCTCCATGTCTTGACTTCCAGTTTGGAAGATTCATAGATGAGTATATACTTGAAGGCTTTTTGTTTTGTTTTTCCAACACAGAGAGCCCCATGTCTGATTTATTTTAACATTTAGCCTAGAAAAGTAGGCAATATTAATAGTCCATCTGAACTTTTAAATTGATAAACAGAAGTTGTTTTTTGCTTCATTTTCTCAGAGATACATCTAGATGCTAGTAGGTAAAACTTCCTCACATGATCGATGGAATCCCTGAGAATGATTGGTTATAGAAGCGCTGGTGGGGCAGTGATGAAGTGATCGTCCGCTAACTTGGTGATGCCATCAGTTGTGGGAGAGCAATGAGGCGGCCTTTTATAAAGATCACAACCTGGACAGCTCAGTGGAGCACTTTGACTCTAATATGCTCACGAGCAGTTGGAACAGACTCAGTGACAACAGGTGTGCTTTCTTCTACTACGTCTCTTACATTTATTCCTCCTAATTTAAATATATTGTTCTCTGTCCCTATTGACTTTGTTTTATTGGTATATTTGCAACTCCTGATAACTTTAGCAGAGTGATTTTACAGAACTCAATTTTGTCAGAAAAATCAGGCTTGGCCAAATTGAAAATAAGCTTTAATGCTTCTTTGTAAGTTGGCCATATGTACATGTTTGTGTATATGTGGGTAGTGTGCATGTGTGTACATAGACTCTGACTATATATAAGTATATATAGGTGTGTGTATATATATATATATATACACACACACACACACACAATAAGTATTCTAGACCGAAAATTTGGACAAATTGAAAGTTGGGGAAAAAAATGCCACCATCATATATGCTGGATATATATGTGCATATGTGTGTGTGTGCTTCTGTGTGTGGGTGTGTACATGGACTCTAATTCATCTTTTAAATAGCTTTGCAAACTCAATATGCATTCTCAAATTAAACATATGCTATAATATTCTCATTGACTTTGTCAAAAAACAAATTTAAAAGCTTCAAAAACACAGACTCCAGTGTCAGGTAGTCTAGAATTTCTATCCTGTATCCAATATTTACTAGTCTTATAACCTATTAGTCTATCTGGAGAATTTAGCTAATTGGCAGTACAACAAGGTTAAAATTTATCTTGAAAAGTGGCAACTTTTAACTATGTAAGCATTTACATAGTAAGCATTTTAGAATCAAGTTTCTAAATCCTTTAATCATTCATGTCACCTTTACTAACCATAGACTTAATAGAGCTGGCTGTAGTGGGTTATGCAGTAGGGTGCTAACTGCAAAGTCAGCAGTTCAACCCTACCAGCTGCTCCATCAGAGAAAGAAGAGGTTTTCTGCTTCCGCAAAAATTTGCAGCCTCAGAAACTCAAAGGTGGCAGTTCTCTGTCCTGTGGAGTAACTGAGTCGGAATTAACTTTATGGCTGAGTTTGAGATTATATATGTGGCATTATTCCACATCAAGAAGCAGCAGGAAAGTTAACTGAACATATCAGAACACAGGGTTGAATCATCCTAGGTTCTGGGTGCTCGCTGACACTCTTTGAAGACAACAGATTAATCTCACCTTTTATAGCTAGATTAGCTCAGTCTCATTTTTGTCTTTAAGGGCATAGTTTATGCCACTGTACAGAAAGTTCTGGACTGGTAGGTATTAAAAATAATCAAAGATACATGTATAAAAACCCCATTGACATTTTATCAATTATGAGTTGTATTGGTCCTAGGTAGGATTCTGAATTAATCTTTACCAAACAAATGATCTCAACTTTCTCCAAAGACGGCTGATGGGTTTCAAAAACGGACCTTGTGGTTAGCAACACCATACCTAATCCAAAGGATCACCAAAGCTCCTTGGTATAGGTACCATAGGTACTCATAGACAAGTGACGTTGTATATGAAGAGGCTCAGTGACATCAGCAATTCTACTCAATGCAGCATAAGGTTTTGAAGAGTAACTGAACTCAGAATATCACTTGCTGGTGCTAACCCAAGTTTATAAGCCTCACCTTAAGAACAGGGACTGCCATACCATCTATGTAAATATCATCGATGTCTCATTGCATATTTAATGTGCTTTACTTGGATGGATAGATTTATGTATGTATGTATGAGTGGAGGTATGTATGGATGGATAGGTACAAGACTAAACAACTGAATAAGTGAATGAATGAATGAACAAATGAATAAATTGAATGTAATTATATTAAAAGCAATGGCTAGTATACTGTGTGACAAATGATACACTAAAGCCTAGCATTCACATTTCAGATGAGTAAAATTAGATAAGTAAAAAACAAATTACTTGTTTGGTTGGACACAGAAAATAAATTAAGAAATGTTACAAAGTCATGACTCAGGGACAGAGGTCTGAACTCACCTGAATGTTGTGACATCTAACTACCTAAATTAATGGACTGTCACACGATGAGCCTATATTTTTGATCTTTTTAATTGAAAAATTAGATGATTTCATGGTTGATGCACTATTTAATTATAATACAACACACTGTCACAACTTGCTAAACAGTAGACTTATCAACTATCTATAGATACAGTCTCAGCCTTTTCAGCACTAAGTTGATAAAAAAAAAACTTAAGAAAAGTGTATTTCAATGCTTCCAAAGAAAACAAACACATTTTCAGTGAGCTGTCAAATTTCATTTGAGTTTTGGACAACAGATGTTCCTCTCTCTAATCTGTGTAACCAGTTTGAGCTATGGGACATTTCAATACTCAAACATCTTTTCTACGAATATTCACATTCGTATTCACTGAGCAGCCACAGTGCTCATTAGGTTTTGCTATGTCTTAAATGGGATTTTAATGAGTTTAACAGTTACTCATGAAGAAGGCAGCCATTTACTTTTTTCCCCCCTTCAATATGGTCTTTTTCCTTTCTTGACACCAGGCCGCATTCATTTAAGTGACAGTAATAAAGTGATGAATTTTGGGGATGCAAGGACTGTGAACGATTTGCCAATGAAGTCAAATGCTTTAGCTGACTATTTCTCCCTACTATTACAACTTGAACATACAGATAAAATGATCCATGGAGAGAAAAAGGGAGTTATGTTAGCTACTATGGCAAATAGTCCCACCCTATCAGAAGCATTGCTTTGCTCTTGTTTCGAAGATAGCTTTCAATGTATTTGTTTTACCTTACTTTCCACTAGAATTATATATACTGTACACTAGAAAGTTGTATACATATAAATACATTTATATATACTGGATTAGACTAGAAAGTAGACAACATGCTATAAACCAACAAAGACTTTATTTTCTTAATACACTTTAAAATGCTTTTTGCCCTTCTATTTGAACTTATTTATTTAGTTTTACATTGAAGACATCTCTTTCATTCCATATAAAAATGTTAGTTTGGAGTATCCACTATAGAAAAAGATGTGATTGCTGTTATTTTGTTTTCAAAATATGTGATGATGAATCAGAGCTCCCTCTGACCTCTGTCCTTTTGAAATCCCCCAAAATAATATTTTATGAGAAGAGCCATGCGATTTGCACTACATTAAAAAAAAAAAAAGCTTCAATTGAGTGGAAGCCAATGTTTGAGTGGAGCTTTGAGTGAGCTAGACAGTTTCTGTAAAAATATTTCCATCCCATAACAAGTAAAAATAGCCTAAGACTCACATCATAATAGTTACCAATAATGGTGTGTCTACTAGCCTCTGTGCACTATAATCGGAAGTGCCTTGTGGAAGAAATCACAATTAGCAACTGATGGAGAACAGATTCAAACCCTAGTATGTGACTTCAAGCCACAATTATCTTATGAGCCTGCATGGCCTCCTGTGTGTGCCATGACTTCGAGGCAGTTTTATGGGGATTTGTTTCCCATTTAATCTTCATTTCAACCTTGAAAGTTACATAGTTTCTGCCATTTCACAGAAGAGAAATCTGAGAATGAAAATATAGTCAGGATAGACGCTTGGTAACTGTTTTTGGACTAATTGAGCCCAAAATTTATAGAATATCATTGGAGGTAGGATAATATAATGATAAGGAAACACATATATGGCTTATAACCATTGCTGCACCTCTTAACAAAAACTGGATGCCAAGTCAGTTGTATAAAATGCTATTTTCTTAAAGCAAAACCACAAAAATACTTTTATGTTTCCCTATCTTTTTCTGAAAGTGTTATTCTTGGAAATTCTATGTAGGGTTAGTAGAAGATGGAATTGCCATGAGGTAGAAAATGTAGTTATCTCTATCAGGTATTTTAAAAGTAGAAACCTACCGTGTGCCTATAATTTTCAAATGAGTAGACTGTCAAGAATTGTCCTACCTATTTAATGAAGTAACTTATTTCATATATAAAAATCCCAATTTATTTTAAAAGGCATATGAAAAGGTTTAGTACATTCTGTACTTATTTTTAAGCAATAGTGACAAATAGGTGTGCGTCATATAAAGAGGGGAGGGTTTAGCTGTGATAATATCTCTGCATTCTCCAGAGCTGTGTGGTGTAGTGGTTACCCATTGGGCCGTGATCTGTATGGTCAGCGGTTTGAAACCACCAGTGGTTCCCTGGGAGAAAGACTGCGCTTTCTACTCCCTTCCATAGTTCCAGTGTCAGAACCCCACAGGGGTTCATTAGCAGTTGGCATTGATGGGTGGCAGGGAGTTCTTTTTTCGTTTTCTATTTTGAAACTGAACAAAGCAAAATGAACACCAGTATCAAGTACGTTTGCTTTGCTTTCCTTAAATTTGGATCTGTGGGTTGAAAAATAATAACTATGTTAAAAGGTGATGCTGGTAATGACATACCATCTGATTTATTCAAGTGGAAAATTTTAAAAACATTTATTTCTTCAGAATGGCAATCATACAATGTTAAAGCTCATAGCTAGAATATTTAAAGATACATAATTACCTACCAGGGAAAAAAAATCACACTGCAAACCATCTATAATAAAGAAAACTTTTCAAATGTTTTAGCAAAGAAAGATACAGCCAGGGAAAATGCATTTCAAACACACCATGTTTTACTCTTGCCTCTTGTGTTTTTAAAAAAATCAAACATAATAAGAAAAACACAATTTTTAGGTGTGATGATGATTATGCTTCTAAAATAACTCTCTACATTTCAGAGGTGCAAACTGAAATATTTGGAGATGAAAGAAATGCTATTTGAAAGACACTTGAAGGCAGTTTGGAGATGCGTGGCAAGTAGATGACACTATGTGAAATGAAATTGGAAATCCGTTCTGTGTTGATAACTGTTGAAGTTAGCTGAAGGTTACTTGGAGCTCCGTACACTGTTTTTCCCCTCTGATTATGCTGAATACTTTTTAAACAATAAAACAATTAAAATATGTGAAACCTTTTTAAAAAATGTAAATTTTGATAAAAATTAAATTAAATTTTATCATGCACAATCCAGCCCAAAACAATGTGCCTGCTCGGGGCAGCTGAAACATAAGTATTGTAAGAATCCCATATTAGCAATCCAATACTCCTCACATCATTGCTCAAAACCAGTCACAGGATGACGGCCACCTCCACAGGTAGGTACCGGCAGCACCCTGCAAGGAGGAGAAATGTGGCCACCTGCCAACGTCTGTTAGAAAGTGCACCCAAAGACATCATGTTCATTGTTCAATATCGAAGAGTAACTTATGAAAATTGAATAGTCCCTGGCTTGAGTTAAAGATCAAAGACTTGAAATTGAGACAATAAAGATGCGCAGTGAGGTTAAATGCATTTCTCTTACAGTTTTTTAAAGAGAGTAAAACTTTTTGTCAGTTTCTACTTTCATCTGATCAAAGCGGCCAGTGTGAGAGAATGTTACCGGATGGGCTTCACCGCGTTCAAGGAAAGAATGACAGCAAAAACTCCCAGACACCTTTCCTTGTTTTCTGTGTTGCTCTCGTCTTTACGGAACTTGGAGAACTTGCTATTCCTTGGAAGGATTCAAAGAGTCTAACAAGTCCCAGAGGGTCTCACGTTAGCAATTCAAGGTTTGGACAGAAGTTGGATAGAATTGCTTCCTGATGGTGTGGTGATTTTCCATTAACCAAGTGCTTTTGCAGACTTCGAATTCTAAGTCACAGTGGCCTTTTGAGGTTGGCAGCGCAGTTGTCCTCATCTTGATTTTACAGATGAGGTGACAAGTTGAAAGAGGTCAAAGTTATACTTATGTTTACAACTACTAAGGAACTGAGCTGAAAACAGCAGTCAAACTTCTTGACCTCCAAGTCAGAACTCACTGATCTACACCATGCCACCAAATCCTGTACCGGAAAGATCCTCATTTGCTGGGGGAACTTACATGGAAGTCAATCTTCCTTAAAGAAATCTAAACACTATGTCTTTCTCTTTCTTTCTTTTTTGTTTTGGTTGTTGACATTGAAATCGCTTCAATATCCTTGTGCTGGCACACAGACTTTATAGCGAGTCAGGAGCCTACTGTGCGAGACAAGTTGGAATCAATTCAAGGGATGTTTTACAAATATGACTCAACCCATCTGTAGATCGCAGATAAATAAAATATAACAAGCTTGCTGACTCGGATTCACGCTGATTTTCAGCTCACCTGAAGTGGGTAGGAGTTTCCAATCTGACATTGACTTCCACTTCCTGAGCCACACAATTCTTTAAGCAACAGAGGCAGCCAAACAGCAGCCACCTACTTGGCTTTGCTCTGGTGTCTGTCCATATGAATATCCTACGTGAGCATACGGCCTAGGTAATAGGGAGGTTTCAGAAGGCTTCAACAGAAACCAGTGATTTTAAGATGGGTAGACACTGAAATTGTCTGACATAAATCAAGAGGAAAAGCCTTTGGATTAACTACTCTGAAATCAATGCTGCCAAAAATAAAGAAACCCTACAGCCACTTTTGTCCATTTGGTTGTCATTCATTTGGAAAGGTAGCGGACTCATCTCTTTCGCACTGTTTAAACATCATGACAATCTCTATTTACTAGATGGGAAACAACTTAATTAATTCCTAAGTGCTGTTTCTCATCTTCATGGCATTTTTTCCCAGCATCTATCAGAATTGCCTATGCAAAAGAGGTACATTATTGGGCAACGGTTCTATTTACGAATTTCAACTTCCCTCCTTTGGGAGATGATAATGATGATTATACTTAGTTGAAATATTGCAAGTGAAAGGCAAACTAAACCGCTCAGGAAAATCATAAGGAGTGGGAATCAGCAACAAAAAAAATCCTCCTGAGATGAACCAATACTGGGGATACTGATTTGAACAGGAGAAAGCCAAATTGTCAGATGAGGTCACATTTGCTTATCTAATCTAATATTACTGAGAATGAATATGCCACGGTATGTTTGTTGCTTTTATTTATTGTTTATGGAGAAAAGCAGACGAGAAAAGAGCTCATTCAGGCACAGCTGAAGTGAAATTGTCAGAATAAAAAAATGTCATTGTTTTTAAAATGGGAAACATGCAGCCTACAGTCAGTCAGACACGGGCATGTTTGGTTGAAGGAGTTCTGTCTTTAAAGAGAACAACAATCAAAAAGAACAAAAAGGAACCTATTAAGAATGTTCTCAGTAATGAGCACTTTATAGAATTATCACATGTAATTTTCACAATTACCCTGAAAGTTGGGCATTATTATGTCTACTTTACAATCGAAGAGATCAAGCTTCCACAAGTACCAATCATTGACTGAAGGTCACAGCTAATAGGCAATAAGCTTGGAATTCTACCCCTGCCAGGCTCAGAGCACAAAGTCTGTCCTTGCAACCATGCTGACCAATATAATCTAACAGTATTTTATAAAGAGATTGGTGGGTATTCGAAGAACCTTGATTTCTTATTATAAACCCTATATTGTAAAATTAAAAATAACTCAATAGAAAAATCTTTCATAACGACTTTCCATATATGGAAACTTCAGATCTCTTTAGGTTTTCCTCAATATGAGATATAAATGGAATTTAATTTGGCACTATCATTTTTTTTTAACATGCTGTGCTTGTTGTTGCTAGTTCTGGCACTTAGCCACCCTTGCATGACATAGATTCGGTGCCTATCCATCGTGGTTAAGTGCCATCAAGTCCATTTCTAGTCATAGTCGCCTCCTGGGATAGATTAGATCACCCGGTCTTTCTAACATAGAGCAGCTGGGTGGGACTGAACTGCCAATCTTTTCCTTAGCATTCAACATTCAGTACAGTGCTCAGTGCTGGTCACATGTTCTGGCGGAAGCACAAAAGAACTCACACTAGGAGAATGTCAATAAAAATAGTGTATCGCTTCATTTCATCTACAAGTTGAATACAATAAAACACCAACTCCACAGCCGAGAGCCCATGTGGTCTCAAAGTCATCCTGTAGGACAAAGCAGATCTATTCCTTAGGGTTTTTAAGATAATCTCATCGTTCTCCTACGGAGAGAGTGGCTGGTTTGAGGCACAGAATTTGTGGTGATTAGCCCAAGCTTAACCCACTATGGCACCAGGGCCCATTCATAAAAACGCTTCAATCCAAACACCAGTGTCCTGCCAAGGCTGAAATGCCTACTCATCCTGACCCTACATGGGGTTTGCAAATCCGTAAGCATTATGTGGGCTGAGCGCCTCATCTCTCGCACAGAGCTTTGGTGGCCTTCAGTTGCCAACCTAGTGGTTAGCCATCCATGCTTACCCCAAAGCAGCACCAGGCTCCTTCAGTAAAATCACTGCAAAGCTTCACATTCCCCCTGCCAACAATGGCATTGCTGCCCCACCGCGCGGGGCTGGAGGATGCAATTCTGGATTTTACCTGAAGATGGCATCCATCCCATAGCTGTCCGTAATTTGTATGAGGAGTCGTTTTAAATCTGCGAGCACCGTCATAAACTGTTTTCGACTAGCTGGAACATTTGTGCCGCGTATGGTAAATAATTCTTCTTTCAATGTCAGAACATGAATATATTCTTCAGTTGGCAGCAGGTGCACCTCGTCTTGAGCTGTGGTGATCTGCAAGTCATTTCCCTAATGGGTGAAAAGAACATCAGAGGGCAGAACAGGGTAAGGATGGCGCAGAAGGGCAAAGCATCAATACCTCATACAGCACGTGCCTCGGCATCTCTATTCATATTCCAGTAGGAGCTTAATCCCAGGCTGGCTTCCCTGGCACTTCCCTGGTTTCTATGCATGGAGGCGATGCAATGCAAATATTACCTTGGGTCCCTGGGTAGATACCATTGAGTCCGTCCTACCGATATGGACACAACAAAATGAACGGCTGTCCTCTTCCATCCTCGCAATCGTTTTTACGTCTGAATCATTCATGCTGCTACTCTGCCAACTCCATTCACTGACGGCCTCTCTCTTCTCTGCTGACCGTCTGCTTTACCGAGCAGCATGGTTAGCGTTCCTCCAGAGTGGTAAAGTGTATAAGGTCTTTGGTTATACATACCCTTGTTTCCTCGGTTAGCTGAGAGGATACATCCCCAGCCATTCATAAACATATATGTGATTAGAAATACCTTGATTTTATGTAAGTAAAGGGAAGAGTTCAGATGTGTATGTGGGCTGTACAGAGGAATATGAAAGAAAATTTAGAAGAGGGTAGTGAATTTTATTTAAACAATATTTTGGTAGGGCAATAACATAAAACTACACTGAAAAATGAAAAATGAAAAATCTTATAATCTAATGTGCCTCCTAGGATAATTCCATCATGTTAAGGGGTATATATGCTGATCTACCACATTTTGGTGATCCCTCTTACTTCATATTAAGAACATATTACATTAGAGAACCCTTTTCATTGCAAACAAATTTAGCTACAATTCTAGCTTCAAGTAATTCAGTTATTTATATGTAAAATACAGGTAACTCTATCCAATACTGCAAACACTCATTTTATGGGGAAAAAATTGGTTATTGATTCTGGGGCAAAAGTCCCCGTTTTCCCACTAGTAAGGCATCCTCTCTGGGGCCACTCCCCCTGGAGTAGTTGAGGTACCTTGCCTGGACTTCCAAGCCTCACCTGTGAAGGTGTGCTATTGGTGAGAAGGGGAAGGCCCGACCAGCAAAGATTTATTTATTCACTTTCAACGAGCCTCAGGAGACAAATTTTGCTTCTCAGTTAAATCCCAGATCATGCGGGCTTAGGAAGTTTCCTGATTGATTATTAAAAGATAAGCTCTTGTTAAGGACATTGTACCCTTTGAATCATGAAAGCTTTGTGTTGGGAATCCCCTCAGATGTTACCCAAAACATCTCCTCCTTTCAGATCTTCTGGGATATAAAACTCTTGGACAATGACCATGTTATCCTCTCTGTGAGTCTGTGGGTTACGCAAGGAATTATGGAATCCAAAGAGGCAAATGGAACCAGTAGGTCACAACATTAATGGTAAAGCGAGGGTTCCAGAGCCGATGGCAGGTATTCTGAAAGGGTAGTGGGAAACCGATCCCCAATGTTCATCCCCGGATCACAAGGTTGAGGTGTCATGTGGACTCCCCACGCAAGTGACTCATTTCTGTCTATTTGACAGTCTGGTGAATGGCTTTCTTTGAACTTGTACGCTCTTCCCAGGAAGAGAGCGAGTGCCAAAGGAGGAGCTCATGGGGAGCACGGAGAAGCAGAAATGTGAGGATTGTGTTAGTCTTCATATTTGAGGATCGCCACTGCCTGACTCATGCACAACCCTTTAGGACAAAGAGGAGAGCTTTGTGCAAAATCATTCAGATTCACAAATGTGTGTGCACAGATATGCCTGTGAGTGTGTGTGGGGCTGGTGGTTAGGGGTGAGCCGGATGAGAAAAGAAGATTACAGGAAAGTGTAGGACAGCCCCTTGAAGAAAAGTTTACAATTCTAGCATTTGGGAATTGACTATGGCCCGCGGCATTTTGAAAGTAGTTTCTCTCATGTCCGTTTTAGCTAAATTCAGATTTTAAAGTCAGGATTTTATTATGGTCAAATACATATACTTCCTTTTTAATTACCTCTTCCATATTCCAGCATGGATGTATAGAATAAAATTGACTTGCAACAAGGGGAGATGGGAAAATACAACTATACCAATCAGAATTTTCCCAGATAATTCTATCAAACTTATATTCTTAGAAATATAGCTATAGTGTATCAAATTTAAACAACTTTGGCCAAAAGTTAGGAGGCCCATGAATTTACTTCAACTTCCAGTATAAAATATAAACTGGAATAAAATTTTCTAAGGTCTGACATTTTTCTTCAGTATATATAATTTAGCATCAAAATAACCAGGTAAACGATAGCACAGGTGATCCCAAATAACACTAAAGAAATGCCTCACTCTCATCGCGGTGAACCTGACGCAGGGAAGCCTATAGGACAGAGAAGAACTACCCCTTCTGGTTTCCAAGACTCAATCTTCATAGGAGTTGAAAGCCGTCTTTTCTCCTGCGGAGGAGCTGATGGTTCTGAAACTGCTGACTTTGCGATTAGTAGCCCAGCAGATGATCCGCTATCCCACCAGGCGTCCACCCCAAAACACGTGTGTAAACTGGCCAACACAAATGACATTCTGCACACTGTACCTCTAACACGATCTTCAGCTGGAGTGTACGCTCCACATCCTCATCTTCTTCCAGGTCATATGCTGTGGTAAATGTCACGTGTCCTCCTGCCACTGTGAGCTAGAACGGAGCAGATGCACAGTTATTGCAGGACAGGCGATGAGCTGCTCACTCACATTTCACTTATGACATCACTGGTTATTCTCAAATAACTGCATTGTTCCAGGGACAGAACTTCAGAGACATGGAAATCACTAGCGTACAGAGTGGAAATGATAGAAATTTCTCTAGGAATAACCTTATCAGGAACCTGACTCATCAGCTGCAAGTCTGACACACATACAAAGAATCACATATTATTTCCCCCAATATTACAGACTCGTTGAAAGAGGTTAAATTCCACGAAATTAAACACAGCTCCTCGGTCATTACCCTCACCAAAAGTGTGAGCTTGACTATCCCCAGACAAAGAAGGGATATGCCAAAAAAAGGAGATTTCTACCCTCTGCTACCCACTCCCCAGAGTCACTGACATTTAGGGGACCTAGATGCCTTAACAAATAAACATCATTCATTTATCAGACACTTTCCATTGACCATAAGGGAAGTGTTGGTCCAATAACGACAAAAGGAGAGCAGCCACTGTTATATTCCGATAAAATTCAATAAGAACCACCGAAGAAAATATTATTCCCTGTGCACTCAAATCAGCCCAGGTCGGATGAATGTCACGATCCCCTTTTCATTAAGCAAATATTTCCCTTCTAAAGTGCATGCTTGATGTTTACATATCTTGTCATTGGCAGTAACCTTGGAGAAATTATAAATTAAAAAAGCAAAACAAAACATCACTTCTAGGGTAGGAATCAAAATTGGGGCTGTGACAATGTAATTGGGATTGTCCTTTTTTCTCCATCTTTAATTCTCCTCCATAAATAAAGACCTTCATGAAACAGATATGCTGTTTGGTGTGCGGTTTCTTGCCAGGTAACATGCAAAGACCTCTGATCACAGCAGCCGCCAACCTGCAGCCTTTCTCGGTCAAGCTCTGGCCAGACAGCAATTCTGGTAATGCACTGGGTGGAGGAGGAGGCACCCCGATTTCTCCTAAGAGTCGTTCCACAGGGAATGACATACAGCTTGCTATGGTGTATTAAACAGGATTTTAAAATTGCAGCTCTGCAGTGCCTTCTAAGAGCTCATTACACAGAGCTCCACAAGGAACTAAAACTCAGAAAACTCTTATTCCCCTGCTTCACCGAGAAATGGCTCTACTCTAATACCCTGTCATATATAAAATAATAAATATCTGCCTGGACCATAGCATTTGGCATTATTGTGAGTAATGAGGGGTGAACCTATGTAAAAGGTTTTTGGTTCTATTAATATAAACATACAAAATTTCATATAGCCTGCTGTTCATACCAGCCAGAGATTTTCTCAATGAGAAAGGTCCAAAAGGCAGGCGGAAAGAATGCTTTATGTATCATACGGCAGACTGAGCTATATCAAATTTTCTGTTGCTACAAGATACTAATTGAGGACAATGAGAATAGGTCTATAGTATGCCAACATTTTGTACTTTCAAATTTATTTTGACTATTTCAAATGTAGATGATATATTGTTTTATTTTTTGGTATCTACATCCATTTCTGTAGTAAATTTCCAATTTCAATTAGTTCTAAATTTCATGAATTCATTCTTTAAATTACCATGCCATTGCTACTGTTTCCCACTGAGTTGACTCTGTCACAGAGAACGATCCCATAGGGTTTCCTGGACCATAATCTTGACAGAAGTAGATCATCAGATCTGTTCTTCTGTGGGGCCAAGGATGGGTTCAAACAGCCAATCTTTCCGTTGGCACTTGACCCCTCACTCATGGCACCACCATACCCACTGACACGGAGTTGATTCCAACCCTGAGCAACCATGGATAGGACAGAGTAGAACTCCATAAGACTCCCAAGGGCTTTCACTCTGTAGAGAATCAGGCAGCCTCATCTTTCTCAATTGGAGAGACTGGGGGGTTGGAACTGCTGACCTTTGGGTTACCAGTCTAACAGCCCACTACACTACAAGGGATCCGTATGTCTCCACAGGAAAGGGAGAGAGGGACTAGACCTCAACTTGCTACACCAAGTCTTGAGGGCAACACACTGTCATGGAGCAGCAAACTAACAGAGTGGTCCATGTGGCCGAGCCCCATCCCAGCTATGTTGACCCCCTACCCAGAAGATTGCACTACAAAGGGCAGCACTGAAGATACAGCCCAGGGAGAGTGGTGAGTCTGTGCAGACCACACAGTGGCAAAAAGAGGGTTGGAGGGTAGGCTGCATCCTGACCCACCAAGCCCTGAGGACAACACTCCTGCTCAGAGCAGCCAAGGCACAGAGAGGACCATAGGGCTGACCCCAAATGAGACACAATGTGCCCTCACTGACCCACAGCACTTCAGGGGATAGCACTGGAGACATAGTGTGGGAATTGTACCAGGTCTGACCCTCTCAAACTGGGGTGAAACAAGAAGGGAGCAAAACAGAGTAGCAAGGGGAGCAAAGCAAGAAGTCCCTGAAGAATCCCAAAAATAGAATTCAGACTTGGAGGGCAGGGCTTGGCACCTGTATTAGTCTAGGTACTTTGGAGAAACAAATCCACAGCAACTCATGTATAAGAGAGTTTTATGCAAAGAAAATGTGCATCACGAAAACATCCC